CATCCATATCGCAGATGATAACCGTGGCGCCGGTTGCAAGAAGTGCAGAGGCGTAAGCCTTTCCAAGGCCTTTCGCACCCCCCGTCACAATTGCCGTCTTTTTCTGGAGAGGACTCACGTCGAGATCAATGTTACAATCCAGAGGTCCGTCATACGTGTAGGCTGCCATTTTGTTCAACAGGCAATGTCTCGTCAAGAAAGGGCCGCGGCGGGTGTGTACTCAACTGCTTCTGGACACACAAGAATGAGCCGCCTCCGTTGCTTATATGATTAATCTCCATCTTACCTCATGCCCGTAAACACGACTACTTCCATCGTCCACGGCCGAGAAATTAGGAAGTCCGGAGGTATCCCAGAAGGTCCCGCATCACTCTAATCCGTGTGCTCGGTTGCTGTTCACGGAGCCAAGACCGAACCCCAGGTTGAAGGCTGCTCATTTTCGGTAGAGACTGACCGCGACTTCGGCCTGCCAGTGCTGAAACGTCACAACTGAATCCTGAGGGAGCACGTCTCGGCCTTCCGGTGCTCGACGTCAACCCTACGAACATGGACTGACCGACATCGACGGTAATGGTACTGATGGGGGCGTCCGTTTTGAAATTCCGTCCTGCATTGTCTTAGTAAGGTCATCTTCAAAAAGCCCGCCCATGTTCCAAAGCCTCTCGACCTCTTGCGGAACGCATATATCATGCAGGAACAGCGATGTCAGGCGTTGATCTTCTCGATCCCAACTCCCAACCCTCTCCACATTCAAAGGAGACGGGATTCGACCGCTGATCTGATTACTTTCCTTGCCGTCTGATCGGCCGGCCCACCGTTGTTTTGTTTCGACTTCATGATTCAGCATAGACCGTAATCCACCCTCCCCAGTACTCCACCACGAACGCGTTCTCCGCGGGGGCTGATCCCATTGTTGGGAGTATTTATCGACATTTTGCTATACGGTTTACAAGTAAGATCGTGCCTTTAGTATTGAATCTCAATGCCACGGTAGAGGCTGGTACAGGACTAAATTGGTTGATGCAGTTGATCTACCTATCGATCGCGGCGGTCTGGCGGGAACGTGGCACCGTGGTTTATGAGGCGGTGGTGGCGCAATGCTCGCCTAACATTCCCGACATGGACATAGTGACAACCTTCCTAATAGGGCTAGATGTGTGCCAAGAACCCCAAGTGGGCCATCCACCGACTCCAGCCTGAGGTCTCGAGTCGAATCCTTCCACCCTCTGTATGATCCTTGACTCGTTCTACCTCTATCGTTGTACCAAAATGGACCCGGCTACTACATCCCCCAGTCAAATGCACACCACTGCGCCAGACGAAAGGACAGGCGAGAAATGTATGTCGCGTCATCAGACAAGGTGGCGCAAGATGGCTATTGAAATTCTCAGTCAAACCTCCAGGAATTGCTGCTATGGGCGCATACTCCGTACTTCGTGTCCTCCAGGTCGATCGCTGACGCCGCGGCCCTCCCCCCTCCCCCTCCTCTTTTCCCCGAGGCACATTCCTCACCGAATAAGAGGTGTTCTGAGTCTCCTGCGCCCCTGCCTCATTCCATTCTTGAAGATCACACATAGCCACTCCTCGGTCAATCACAACGAGACAAGGGCCTCCGCCTGGCGCCCAGGGCACATGTGTCAACAACTCCGGGCAAGAAGGCTCAAAGGGACAGACCAATACACTGGGCCCAATAACACCAATCTCAGGGGAGAGAGGGACCATGGTAAGACAGCTTGGATTGACGACATTTTCCAACGACAGGGTGTACAACGACTTTTTGCAGACAATACAACAAAAACTCCCACAAACATTGGAGCAAATACATTCCAATCCCTCCCCATCTATCCACACGCTTCTGCAGTCGACCACGCGCGCCTCTCCCTTCTTGCTTTCTCCGTCACCATCCTTCAAAATGCTGCATTCTTCTTTCTAGCAGTCATGGTGAGGCGGACCGATTCTTTCCTACCATTCCAAGCACAACCGGTCTCTCTCAAAGGGGACGCTGACAATTTGCACTTGCCCAAATGCCTCACGTGTCGCCGTCGGTTTCAGAAGGCGCAGGTGGTCGTTGTATCCTGCACAGCTCGCAGAGTACATGGAGAAGTCCCTCCGAGCAAGTATTGTTTTTGTAGAGGTGGCATTCAACGCTCTTCAGCCCCTGTTTGAAATCGTTCTCCAGTTCGAGAGTGGCCTTGCATTGGCGGTAGCAGAAAACCATTCTGCACAAACAGCAGCGTGCACAGATGACCACTTTGCTCTTGTTTTCAAATCTGAATGTGACACCCAGTTCGTCCGTGTGCCAGAAAGCTCGGGGCCCATCGACTCGGTTTTCGTCAGGTTTCGCCTGCGTGGACATGACCTTCCAAGCTTCTATGTCGTAGAATCGGCAGAAACTCAGTTCAGGATGCTCTATACCTTTTCTTGCATCATTTTCTCTTCTGCGTTCCAACCATTCTGCAGCACAGTTGACAACTCCCAGAACATTGCTTCCATGTTTCCGAAAGCGCTCTTTCCTGCATTTCTCTGCCCACTTCCCAAGCTTCGTTCTATCGTGCTCGCCATTGGTGCTAATAACATGCAAGCGGATGTTCGATTCCGATGGGTCCGTGTGCGGCCCCAAGCATATGCTTAGGTGATTTGGAAGTCCTGACTCTTCGAGTTTGAAACTACCAGACTCGATGCGTTTGTGAACCTCTAAATGCTTAATCTCCCGCAGATAGTCATCTGGACACATGAGTCAGTGTTGGTTTCTCCACCTTAAAGCTTGTGCACTTACCTGGCGTAGCTGGTTGCCTCCGTCTGGCGAGCAGTCGTATCAGGAGGCAGAAACAATCGTCTGCTGGAATGTCTTTTTGGAGGTCCTTCCTCTCCTTTTGAAAAGGCCCAAGACGTTCAAGTAGGGGTTTCATGCGTGATTTGTTGCCCTCATGTTGCTCTGCCCATCGCAGAATCTCGATCAACACAACAATGAGCTGACCGAATTCTTGCGACTTGTATTCGCCATCCTGTTCCTCGAGTCGTATAGCATCATCTAATATGGCTTCATATGCGGTGAAGAAATCATCTTTGAGACATTGCGGAGGCGCGTTGGGAGGAATCCTTGTACATGGTGGGTTGAAGGGTCGGATTGTGGACCCCATTCTCTTTGCCTGGCCTTGAGAAAGTACAGCTGCTTGAAGAGATCAGAGACTCCCTGCGGAGCACTTGTCTGGAACCTGAATATCATCTTCAGGAGTTTGCAAGTTTGCCCATTGTGGAGGACATCCATCTCGTTTCGAAAACGCGCAAAACAGGAAGCTCACCACCCTTGTCTAGACCATGCAAGCGCTGGAGCTCTAAAAAAAGAAAATGTCAATATCAAACTGTCGTGCAGTACATGCTGAAAGTGGAAGCAAAACAAAAGGTTGTCCATTGATCCAGAGCAGATTGATAGCTGAATCCCAGGCTGCAAAGAGCAGCTAGGTGGCCGAGCACCAGTCCCAAGCAATCGCTGTGACAAAGAGACGCTCTGCAACCCCCGGGCCAGGGCGAACACCGGGACGGCTCTGGCGGTGCGGGACATTTCGATGCGCGGCTGCTTGCTCCATGGTGCAAACTGCCGGAGATCTAGACTGCCACATTGGCTACTCAGATCACAAGTGTCATTGTGTGAGAGACAGCCCGCACGTTTGTCTTCCTACTTGCCACAGACAAGGAAACATTTGTTCAGGAAAGCGAGGTGCAGGCTGTAAGCAAACAATGATTATCGTGAGGCTGAAGCAAAAGGGATGCCAAGACACTTGTGATGCCAAAGCGCAATTAAAAGCGGCAGTAGTTTCTTTGCCCAATTAGCACCTCCGGCTCATCGTGATTGTACCCATGCCGCTTTAATTCATCTCTGCCTGCGCTGCCGCCAGTTCGATATTGTTACACTCACTGGTACAAGGTTTTTTTGCCTTCGAAGTAACGCCGTCCACGTTGCGAATGGTCTGTTAAATTGTTAATTGCGTGCGCAAAAGACTTGGTCTGGGGCACGATTCACAGAAACGAGGCAATCCTCCAGCTTCGCAAGAAAGCATATCCACAGCATCCCAGGCGGTGCACGACCCCCTCTGCAGAATTTCGCTGCCATATGAACACTTTCGAAGATCATTTGGTATTCAGTTCTGGAACCAACAAGAAATGGAACCCCGCACAATCTTGACTGCTGGATCAAAAAGTATCTGAAGAGATGAAATCTGCGGACAAAAGTGGTGGACCAAATAAGGAGGACCGGCGGTATCCACAAAGCATATACCCTTGCCTCCTGCCAGTGAAGACGGAATACTTGTTCTTGAATTGGTTTCGGCGTTGGTCCAATTATACAGACTATTCTCCGTGCAGCTTACAGGCGAGCATACGACGAAACCTTCAGGTGCAACTCAGAGAGACCAAGAAATCGTTCAGTGAAATGAAGCCCGGCTTCGAGCAAGAGCTGCAGCACGACTGTCAAGGATAGCTTCCTTGCACGCAGCTGCTGACGGATTGTATATTTCGTTACTGCCACTGCTTTTGTATAGGCTCAAACCCGAGATTGTTAGGAATGTTGAATTATTGGTATTCTTTCTTCTCCATCGAGGTCAAACTTACCGTGACTACATCTTCCACAAGGCTGACCACCAAGCTTACTTCTATACCAATAGTCTCGCTTCCCGACGGCTATCTTCGTCGCCTGATTAAAACTCGCCATCCAGAATCTCTTACGCGGCAAGATCCCACGCAAACTAACAGCTCTCTTTCGTTGAGTAACAAGATTTTCCGCCGACTTCAACTATCGTTTACCGAAAGTTCTCCGCCTAGTCCTTTGCCGCCGTGAAGTGAAATCAATTCCTATCATCATGAGGATTTATGAAAAACATCATTCATCCAGCCTGCTCGGCTTGATGGGGCTCGCTTTAGTCTCCTCTGATGCTGGTGTCGTCAATGCTCTCCCTGAAGAAATTCATCCACAACGTTCAAGAAGAAATCACAGACAAATCTATCCCTGGTCCAACCCTGATCTCAATGTGTGTAATACACCGCATTCCCTTTCCAATATGCTCATTCCTGGGGACAGTCAGTTCCAGACGTGTCCCATCACAACGGGGAGATTTTCGACAGTAAGTCGGGCATTAACAGTTTTGACACGATTTGAGTGACGCTTGCAAGCATTCGATTTCGATAAGATTTGCCGACAATCACTGATCCCGATGTTGGATAACAAGGAGTACTGAGCCCATCCAAACTCAGGCGGGTTGGGTCAAAAGCAATCCGAGCTCTACATTCTCAAATTCCATTTCCACTCAACCGACACCATCAAAATCTTTGGACGCGTGACGAGCTGGAGCAGACCTTTTCACCTTCAAAAGAGATCCGAGGTAAATTTAGCACGGCAATCGCTTCATCAGGTCTGGGGCATTTTTGTCACGGCTGCTAAGAGGTTCCGTAACGATGTGTTCGAGTCGGGGTATCGTCTTCTGGAATCGGTTATTGTCGTCAAAGAGATATCGCTTCAGCGTAGCTGCATCCAAATCGGCGTGATTCCATTCACTGACAGAAGAGAAAAGCTTGATGAGATCGGTGTCGTTGCCGGCTAGACGTTTGAAAAAGTCTTCGGCGAACTCTTCTCTGATTTTAGAATTATAAGGATCCTCCGGTTCAAAGCGTCGCTCACTCTCTGAAAGAATTGGTCTGTGCCAGCGATCCTCCTCATCCTCCTCATCCTCCTCACTCTCCTCATATGGATCAAATGTTGTCCAGGAAAGAATACGAAGGTCTCGGGCAAGCCAAACTGGCCTCCCGGGCCGTTCTAGGTCGACAACAACAACGAACCATGAAGGCGTAATCCAGTGATCTGGGTTTCGGTAGAACGACTGCTCAAGACCTTCACCTGCAATACAGAGTTGACCTAGGACAAATACAGTCCTCGGAAATTCTTGATTGGTAAGATGTTGGTTCAAATCATCAGCGATCCCGTGATAGGTGACGTGGAAAATCCAAGGGCTGTGGTCTCTATGGTAGAGTAAGTCTGGGAGTGCGTCTGGTGAAATATCGGAATGATCAATGCACAAGAGGCTGGCCAGAGCGCAATCTATGACTGGCCCTGGAGCGGTCGCAGTATTTCCTGGTTCCCTGGGACGAGAGCGACCTGAAGGATAGGTGTCAGGCGCATGCTTAAAGCTGGCAGTCGTGAAATAGACCTCTCCTTTCTCGTCAGGTGGACTTTGGTTGCCTGCCGCCCAGGCCTGTTCCGTAGCAGAAGCAATGTTGTTAGCATCGTTCCAAGGGATGTTGATGTTTTGAACCATGTCGATCAGACACCATACTTTGTGTGGAAAGAGGCGGATGCAGTCATTGTTCTTGTCGTGCTTGAAAGCTTCAACCGGTACCACGTTCATGTAGGCTCTCCATTCCCCGTTCTTGAGGATCTTTACGGGTATGAGGAGTTCTTTCCCAAGTTTGTTCAACTCCTCTTCATCCTCGTTGGCATATGCTTCCTTGATGCGCCGGAAGATCGAAAACTGAAACTCCAGCAGGGCCTTCTTCATTTCGCGCATTTTACTCGGTGTGGCGAATCGTCGCTTGACCGGCCTTTCTGCATTCATGGCTTTCAAGGGGCTGACCGAAACTTGTGGAGAAAGAGAGGTTTGGGGCGTCAGTCTGGTCCGAAGCCCAGACAGTGGATGATTGAGAATCTGTAGAGAACTGAGTCAAGGGGAAGTGACAGAGTTGAGAAGGGAGAAAAAGCAATAGGGAACGAGGTAGACCTAGTATATATAGGTGAGCCGGTACCGGCGTCTAACTTATTTTGTTCACAGATTGTTATGGGACCCTGCTGAATCAGTATTCAATCTAACTGTCCACCTAGCAACCCGCGGTCTGAATGTATTGGGTTTGGCATTCATTGCTATCACAAGAAGCCTGAAGGCTGGGAAGCAAGGAGTGACGTGCAGGAATGCGCATACATTCCAAAGCCATTTTAGGCCTACATTCCATGAGTTAATGGGCCAAAACTTCCATTCCAGCATCCATTCCGTCAATCACATTCCTACCATCAGTAATGCTCTTCAACCCAGTGCTTGGAATCCAGAGGGCAACACAAAATATTCATATTGACCAGGTTATCCGGGCAGGGGAATCGCGTGAGCCAAGAACGGGCTTTGGCCGCCTGATTCCACCCATTCCTGCGCCCAAGACGTCCGGTAGATCGAACACAACTACCTCACCCGTCCAAGTAACTCCTCCTGGGTTGCCGCACCCGATATATCCGTGCACAATACTGGCGCAACTCTGCCAATGTTCGTCTGTAGCCTCTTCCAAAGTTACAGAATGACCTGGTCGAAAGCTACGAGGGCAAGCAGCGACTCCTCCAAGTCCTTCAAGTCCCCCGATTACCCATGATCCTTGTGGATCCTTTCCTCCATCCGAGAACGTCTTCACGGCGTTCATGAACCCCTCTTCCTGCGAGTCTGATCCAGTCCTGTCGTCCTACGATGTCACTCCTTACCACTTGAAAACCCAGATTTGCCCTTCTCTTATTCTGGATGTCATTGGTGCTCTTCTGGAAGTGAAGCGGCTGAAGACTTGGAAAGGAACCTTGTGCATGGAATCACAGATTCGATCCAGAGGAAGGCTGGTTTTCTCTCGGAAAATGGTCTGTATGTCGACAATTCAAGCATGGTGGGACAAAGATCTGAGCGGACCCGGGAGATTCGATGCCAATGGTCAGGACCCGTTGTTAAGGCCGATATGTCGCAGTCAAAGCGGCCTACCATACAGTCATATTTGCCCCCTTGACTAGCTTTCGCGTACTGCGTGTTATCGAACTGTGAACCTCCGATGTAAATCTCTTTCGGGACGGCAAAGGCGATTGGACCTTGGTGGACGAGTATTTCAGCAGGCCAGACGAGGACAGCGTTGTGTATCATCAGAGCTCCATCTGGTATCGCTTGGTCGCTGGCCACGAAAATAGAAGCAGGGAGGGCACGAGTTACATTAAGTTTATCCATAACTGGAATTCTCATAGCACACCAGGGAGTGCGAAGTCTACCTTTCTTCCTCTGAAATCGTGGATGCTCTTCAGGAGATCGTCAGCAATTGAAATCTGCAGCATTCACCCAGGGACGCAGTGGCTGGTCTTTCTACCCGTTTGGAACTGGTGCGATGGTTTGTCCTGGAGCTTACTCATCTGTCACGTGATCAGCCCCACTTCGCTCAGCCTCATAGCAGCCTGATGCCTACTCGTGTCCTGCTCACACTTCCTCGTCCATCCCATCCGCCGAGCTCAGCCCCGTTTCTGCGCCGCACTATCGTTGGAAGGATTCAGCACTGCGAGATCGAGTGAGTTGAGAATTCCGGTGACCTGCCCAGTGCGAGTGGCAAGCCCACACTAGCCGATGCCTAATCACATGTGGAGACATGACAAGCTGACCAGGCTTTTCCCCATAGTCTTTCGGCTGAGCCATTTACTTCGCTTCATCGCCCAACGGCAACAAGCGCCGAACTGTTTAGCTGCCTTTTAGTTGAACAAGGGGCCAGCTCTCAACGGTCTCGGAACAATGGTCCCTACCATGTCGTTCCCTGCTGCCGAATCGCCACCAGATCCAGACCAATCGGCCCCTCAAGACAAATTCGCTTTTCTCCGAGAGATCACGGGTACCCAAAAACACCGCAACAAAACGTTCTACCAGCACCTTTTCAACGTGTACACTTATCTAAAAAAACACGGGGCTCCAGAAGAGGTTTGCGATGCTGGCCTGTTTCACTCCATCTACGGCACCGAGTCCTATGGGTTTCAGAACCATCGCATCACGAGAGAGGTGGTACGCGGCTTTATCGGTGATTACGCCGAGGAGCTAGTATACATCTTCTGCACGACAAAGGATAGATTCAAGGCGATTGTGAATAACACGATGGCGCTCAGCGCCAGGCAGGCGCGGGATCTGTGTTGCATCGAGTTCGCAAACATGTGGGATCAAAACAAAGACCGACGATATCAAGAGCGGCTGATCATGCTCGGGCAGGCGATTGTGCGCCTAGAGAGTGGTAATCAATGAGACTCCCATGGTATCTTCATTTGGGTTGTTTACTTAACAGGGGGCACAACACGGAACCTAATCGGATTTGCTAGGGGCACTGGCTGAGCACTTCTGTACTTTTGACATTGCCGGCGACGCAGCTTTTTCACAGAATACTGGCGCGAACGAGAACAACTGCATTCGCACGATCACGACTGCCAGTTGTAAAACGGCGCACGTGACGCGGACAGCGTACCAACGTACGACCACCTCCCCCACCACAATCCACTGTGGCAGCTTGGGCCTCCTCTATCTACAAGCAATCAACTTATCACGCGGCTTTCACTGGGCCAAGTCGAGAATCCTGAAGGCTCTGAGTGGCGGCGACATATTTACGATGACGTACGGTGTCACCTTTGCGAGCAGCGACATCACTGCAGCTTCTCTGGCCCTGCTGTATCCTGCTTGCGTCGACACCTCGCGCATGTTCCCGCTAGAGTGAGCGGAGAGTGGCGGGACCTGGGCTCCCAGAAGTGTTGGTGTCACCATCAGCGGTTAGTTCTGCGCCGAAACTACCGACTTTTTGGTCACGGTGTAGATACATATCACCCACAACGGTGGACTGAATCGAACAGTCCAGAGAAGCTTCGAATGATGGATCGCTGCATGTTCCAAGTGAGTCGCGACTAGTTGTTTTCGGCCGAGGCTTGAAGGCCTTAGGGATATCATTAGCGAAGTCGACATACTCAGTTCAGCGCCAGCCCACCCGTATGCGTCGGATGGCACCTAGGGCTGCATGAGATGAGTCTGATTTTGTATCTCCATGTTTTGTACAGCCTTGATGTCCCTTTTTACCTGGTCGTGTCAAGATTGCGCACAACTCGCAGACATGGAACCTCGTTCCTCAACAGTTGCAACACCGCAAGCGTGCCGGGCCTCTGCCAACAAAAAGGATGGGGGCTTCTTGTGGGATGATCAAACATGGCCTCTCAGTTTCGGCTCGCCGACCAAAAATTTGACATTCGTGCTCACTCACCACATCGAGAGAATATGATTGTTTGGCGCGACAATGTTATTCCATGGGCGACAGAGATATACTTGTCTTTTCAGTGTCAGCTCAAGCAAATCTGCCAATGAACGGAATTAAGAACGTGTGGCTTGTCGAAAGAGTGAACTGCCTGTGTTCTTTCACCCGGAATTCCGATTCTTGTCAAATAATTGACCACGAGTACTACCTCCTGTGCAAAGTGAACCGGGATGTTCTTTCCGATGGATACTACATGGAGCCGTGGATTTGCTCTGTGTTCCGAAAAACAAGTACCATTTGGAGTTAGAAGCATTGGAAAGGCCTTTTCTGGGCAAGACATTGTTCATGTCCAGGCCACATGTTCCGATATGGGAGTTCGGTTTTTTTTCTACGTGACTTTCAGCTGCACTGCCAGTGCAGCCTGTTCATCACTCCAGACTGCGACCAACCGAACTCTTAGCTCTTCATGCTTCAGTCGCAACCATGACACCCCCGACGGTCTGTATATCGTGAGAGCTCGAGTGCTTCTCCCTAAAAGCATTCGTGTCCCTCTCGGACCTGGAAGTTTTCCAACCCTTGGACTCTCTGCTGCGTAGCAGACATCCAACTCAAGTTCAAGTCGAGACCTCGATGTCGTCCCAAACGAGAACGGGCTTGATGGTTTTGCCGCTTGCCATGTCCTCAAAGGCTCGGTGGAAGTCGGCCGCTTTGTAGCACTGAACCATCTTCTCGATCGGAAGAGCACCCTTTCGGGCTTCCTGGAGCAACATGGGGATTGACTTTCAGCGAGAGAAATGTCCTGTTAGTCCACGCATACGCCAACTTCACCATTTCCGGGACAGACAGAAGAAATCTATTGGTCGCTCACCTCTGGCGGGTAACTATCCCCTTCGACGCATCCTACCAACTGTTTCCCAGCGTTCAGGAATGCAAGCGGCCGGATCTGCACGAGTTTATCTGCCGGCGTCGCGCCAACGATGACGATCTTGCCCCGAACCCCGACGACCTCGATCATGTTCTCGATCACCTTTGGCACGGCGGTCGTGTCCAGCGCATACCTGACACCCGCTGGGAGAGGGGCAATGGCTCGGATTTCTCCAATCAGGTCTCTACTCGCGCCGTTCACGGTGTGTGTGGCCCCGAGCTCCTGGGCCAAGCCGAGGCGCCGCTCCTGGAGGTCGACGGCGATGATGGTCTCAGCGCCCCGCGCCTTTGCTGCCATGATGGCGCTGAGTCCGACGGCGCCACAACCCGAGACGACGAACGAGTCCCCTGCCTGGATATTCAGGGTGTTTGCCGCCACCCCGTACCCGGTCTGGACGCCACAGCCCAGCGGAGCAAACAGCTTGAGATCCGTCTCCGGGGGAACCTTGACGAGGCAGCTTTTGTTGGCGATGGCCAGCCGCGCAAAGGAGCTCTGGCCGAAGAAGTTGCCGTAGGTCGGCTCGCCGCTCGCGCCGCTTCTCAAGGTAAAGCTCTGGTCCGGGCGAAGGCCCGCCCAGGTGCGCGACATCTGGTGGTCGCAGTAGCCCGGCAACTTCGCCTTGCAGTTGGCACATTCCCGGCACGGATTGAAGCTCAGGATGACCTTGTCGCCGGGCCTGACGTGGTCGATGTCGGCGCCGACTTCTCTGACGGTTCCAGCCCCTAGTAGTAAAGGGGTCACTGGTTATAATCTGTCTCTCGACAACAGTGATGTGGCTAGGTGGAGGAACGGCAAACGGGAAGTCTATCATCACATACCTTCGTGACCGAGAACGCGGGGAAACGGGAGCGGAATGTGGCCGTGCAAGACAGCCAAATCAGCGTGACAGACCCCCACGGCCTGGATCTCGACAATTGCCTCGTCGGCGCGGATGTCGTCCAAAACAACCTCTTGCAGGCTCGGGGCCTCTCCGTCACCCGTCGCAACAATGGCCACGGTCTTGCGACTCATGATGGGAAAGGTTTCGTCGAAAGAGGTGATGGTGAAACCTGGAGATCTAGGCCGAAGGGGAAGGGGACTTTAGAGAAGGCATTATTGCCACGGGAATTCCAATTCATATGGTCTTAACGCCCCCCGGGAAATGATCGACTTTGATCCCGCCTTGGCTCTCATTCCCGGACCCGTCGGGGTTGCTGGACATGCTGGCACGGTGAGGCCCTGAATGCCATATTTTCCGTACCAGCATGTCTACATGGATTCTCTGCCTTGAAGAGTAAATACGCCCTTATCCCTCAAGGAGTAAGTACAGTCCTAATCCGGACACCAAACAAAGAAGACCATTCTCGCATCTAGGCAATATTCGAGCTTGGACGAAAGCATCAATGGCCATCACCCAGAAGCACGAAGGGCTGGACGTTATCCCTCTCTGGATCAATGGAAAGGCCACCGAGCTTGACCCAACGAACCTGATCGAAGTGACCTCCTCTGCGCAGGGTAAAAAGGTCTACTACGCACAATCGGCCAAGGTGGAAAACGCTACTGCGGCCGTGGATGCCGCGGCAGAGGCGTTCAAGACATACAGTCTGGTTCCGTACCATGACCGAAGGAAGCTCCTCATGAGGGTGGCAGACATCTTGGAAAGTCGATCAGAGGAGCTGGCTCGATATCAGATGGAGGAGACCTCTTGCCCGGAGATGTGGGGACGCTTCAATGTTGTCCTCGCTGCCAAAGCCGTTCGAGAGATTGCCGCCAGTATCACCACTGCCGCCACGGGAATGATGCCGCCACCAGAAACCGCCAATTCATTCTGCCTGGTCTTTAAGCAGGCCATTGGATCAGTCCTGACGATCGCACCTTGGAACGGTAGCATCATCCTGTCCTGCCGGTCGATCGCCGCACCCCTCGCTGCCGGATGTACGGTTGTCTTCAAGGCGTCGGAACTCTGCCCCCGTACGCACCATAGCGTTGTCGAGGCGTTTTTAGCTGCTGGGTTTCCCACAGGCGTTCTCAACCAGATTCAAGCGAAGCGAGAAGATGCCGCCAGCATTACCGAAGCGATCATTTCGAACGCTGCCATCCGGAAGGTGGAATTCATAGGCAGCGCAGCAGTGGGTAAGATCATCGGCCAGATTGCGGCCAAGTATATGAAGCCGGTTTTGATGGAGCTTGGGGGCAAGAACCCTGCCATCGTTCTCAAAGATGCGGATCTGAAGAAGGCCGCCGGCTTGGCCGTTAACGGAACCGTGATGCACCACGGTCAGGTCTGCATGTCGACCGATCGGATCATCGTCGAAAGGTCGGTTGCTGACGAGTTCATCGGATATCTTCGTGAGGCGACTGCGGCACTCAATGGCGAAGCCGGATTTGGCGTGACGCCCGCGATGGCCACAAAGGCGCAAAAGCTGGTCGCAGACGCCATTGAACACGGAGCCACATTCTTAATTGGCGAGAACAAATCGCGAGGAGAAACTGGCGCCGCCCTTGAACCGACTTTCATCACCAATGTCAAGCCCGACAATCCGATCTACGATGTCGAATCCTTCGGGCCCTCGGCCTCGGTTTTCGTTGTAGAGGATGAGAACGAGGCAATTAGGCTCGCCAACGACACCACCTATGGCCTCACTGGTGCCATCCATACCAAGGACATTCTGAGAGGCATACGTGTGGCCAAGCAGCTCGAAGTCGGAGTGGTGATCATCAACAGCTTGACCTTGTTCGACGAATCTCCCGTGCCTCTTGGAGGGGTCAAGGGAAGCGGCTGGGGCAAGAATAATAGTAGGTTTGGCATCGACGAGTTCCTTGTCGGCAAGGCAATCGCCATCATCGATGAAGCACCGTCGTTCGGATCGGGCTGAATGTGGACGTGAACAGACTTTCAGAGGGCTTCAAGGAGTAAATATCTCTGAGACAAACACAATGGCGAATGGGCTCGAGGAAATCTCTGGCTGTCAGAAACTGCAGGTCAGCTCAACATAGAAAAATGTGACCCTCCACCAAGTACTTGGGTGTGGATACTGGTAAAATAATCATTCAGATCGAGCGAGCGACTGGGTGTGGCTGGCATTCCGAGGTTTTCAAATGGAGACCAAGTCCCAAGTGTGTCATGCATATTACTATCGTCACGCAATTCGTTGACTGGCCTGACTTGGTCAGATTCCATACTGAGGTAATCCCCACCAAGTTTGGCGGGCTGTGGCTCGAGTGTTTTCTTTCGTTTCGACATAGACGGTAGGAGAATAGAGTACTGCTTGAACAGAACCTGGGCCTCATCGCTCAGAGAGCCGGGGCTGAGGTGTGGCCAATGTTCAATCATCTGAAGCATGCCTGTGGGAAGATTTTAGACCGGAAGGCGCATATTCCATCTGCCAGGCACTTACGAAGCATCTTGGACCCTAGCCGCCAGTTCTTTGCGAAATGAGTGACAATGTTCTTGGCGACTTCTCGCGCTCGAAGGCTATGGTCGGACCGGAGAGGGTCCGTCGATCCAGGTACTACGACCGCACAGCATAGGATAGGAGAGAACAAGGGGATGTATTCGGGTGCCCATACGTCTCCGATTCTGTAGAGGTAGGAGGTGATTCGCTTGGCGAACTGAGATTTGTTTTGGACAGACTCTGGGGACTCTGTATCCGAGCCTTCCTGCCGAGGCCATGGTGATCGTTCGAGGATAGTCTCGGCTCTTTGAGAAAACAGTAAGCATAATGTCCAACGAAGAGCGCTTCAGAGGATCCTCACGTCATGATCATTAAGTGAGTTGCAATGACCCACATGGCATCCTGATGGTTGTCCGCGTCGAGGTATAATGATCTCAGATGAAAGGCGTCCGGTAGGGATAACTTGAGGTTACACAAAGCAGTCTCAAGGCGACATCGAGATATTGTGCCGTGACGAAATGAGCGACGAGACTGGAAAATGATAGTAGATTTCAGGTAGTTGGCCACCAAAAACCAAGCTCTGGTCGACTGGCCGGGAGATTTCTGTAGACTGTTCCACGCGGATTCCGGTGGGCCGATGAAAGCTGTTCTGGCAGGAATGCTGCAATGCCAGTTGTGGTTGGGTGCTGGAAGCAGAACTTTCATTTCTGCTCTCTCGATATTGAATGGGTGGAACGAGCACGTGGAGGCGAAGGTATCGAGCTCCCATATCGACCACCAAAGTCTTCGCTTTTCCTCTTTCTTCAGCCACGATTCCGCATTTTCGTGAGGCATATCGATAATAGCGAGCCCTTCCTCATCTAATTGGTCCTCGTCTGTTTCGTCGAGACAAAGCTCATATGCAAACCGAACGCAGACGCTCGACAAGACAACGCCAGGGCCGAATTGCCCTGCGGCAAAGTTGTAGAATGCGAGCATGACGCAGCCCTGCACAAATTCCAGGCTCGGCTCCTCGACCGTCTTGATTATTGAGTCTTTGATAGTAGCTGCATGATTTGCAAACCGCTCGCCTCGATCGTGGATTGGAGTTCTTGTGAAGTGCTCCGACGTAGAGAATCGCGCGGCCATGGCGAACATAGCATATATCATGAAAGACTCATCATCTGACAGTGTCGGCCGTCCGATCAGCGTAGCCTGCTGGCCGGCACATCGCATGTACCTCCGGTAGAATGTTGGTCGGTGAACAAACCCGAGCCAAGTCTGGACATTGTCGAAGAAATTGCCAATTCTATCTCATTCAGTCAGGACGTGTACGCGAGGGTCAAAAGGCATGATTACATACAGTTCCCCAGCCACCTGATCAGGCAGTCCCCAGCCAGCATCTTCGGTGGGCTGCTCCTCAGGCAGGTCTAGGTTTGCCATGTCCATCTCCAGTGGCAGCCATTGCTCCTCTGCAGAAAAGGCGTCCGTATCCCAGCTTTGCGATTCGCTTGTAGACTCAGCTACTGGCACTTGCATTGAGGCACCAAGCAGTGCGTCTTCGGAGAAAGGTCTTGACAAGTCCACATCAAGGACCAGGTGCGCCTGCCCCTGAGGGACTGTAGCGCTGCTGATGTCCGCGCCCGACCCTTCAGTACCGTCAACGAGCGATTTAGGGAAAATCAAAGTGGTAATGCTTGAAATATCTCAACACACCTGCAGAATCTGTGACAACAATCCGCTTGTTCATTTCCCGGGCTGCTTGTCGCGGACTTTTCGAGGCTGCAACGTCAGTGATAGTCTATAGCCTCTCTATACGGTGAAACCAGCTCACTCGAGAGCAACTGTAATTCGACATGCCCAAGTGCCCTTTTTGGGCGATTCCGAGGCTTCTGTGGTCGCTGTCGCAGAGGAAAGCTACACTCTGCGCCCACGCGTCGACACAGTCCGCAGACTGGACGCTTTTTATCACCTTAGCGGTCCAGTGTCAGCGCAAGCAGCCGCCAGTCTTTGCATGAACGCGGCCAACCAACACTTTATCTTTTTCCTGCTCGATTGAAAGGGTCAATGACACGATGCACAACTGCGGCGGAAAGAATCGACCTGCCTGTTGCAACCCAGGCACGATTTGTTCACCACTCGCGCTCTTCCAGTGGCGACGGACCGCCATGGTGCACCTTCGCCTGACTCCATGGTGCGTGTTATCTAAAGAGCGGTGCATGCAGAAGCGATTATCTAGAAGGAGGTGAAGTTGAGAGGTTGTCCGAGCCAGAGGGTTATAAGTTGCAAGTGCCTGGGGAACGTGATGCGGGGAAGTTCTTTGCCGATCTTGGTGATTGCTCTATTACTATTATTACAGCGAATACACCTTCCTTCCTGGCCATCAAGGCTGTCACATCTTCTATCTTATATGATAAAGTCGCAACGGGCGGCAGGGCAGCCTGGTAGTAGTGATGGCAGTCCAGTTTGAGTGCACCCGCTGCAGACACAGAGACAACCTTTCCACCAGAAGTTTCCCCAGCCTCGGGCTGCAACGATTGAATGGTTCTATGACCTCTTTGTGGGGTAATACCCACGAGTCGTAGCCTGCCACTGACATAGAGACCCTGTCAATTGATTTGTTTATGACTGAAATCTGAAGGTGGAAGAGCTGACTTCCCCGGAGTGGAATAGTTCTCGCATTTGCTGGTCAAACACGGTGTTTGTGAGACTTTTAGAAGCGGGTACGGCAAAAGACATCCTGTACATGGTGGGGACGGGAATCTCAATGACTTGGCTTTCCCATCCAATGGAAATCTCAGAGAATCGGCAACTCGACTGACGCCTTCGACGGAATATACCTGGCACGGTGCGCGTTTCAGGAGGCAGAGTCTCCACGATAGAGACATGGCGAATCTCTAGGACAGCCCTCGTTGGCAAGAGACGCATAGCAGGTGCGCTCAGCCTGTGGCGGCCTCATCGGGAATCCATCTACCGCACGTCATGGCTGGCTTTGAATCACGCATAAGACCAGTTTCCCTTTCCTGAGTCCAGTCAGTGAACATCTGCCGGGGCCAGCTTATCACTCAGGAGACTCGGTTTGAATACGTTTTGAATGCGTGAAAATGGCAAAGGATCGCATTGACGTCCACCATCACTTTGTTACTGACGTCTATCGAAAAGTAAGGCATTGGAGAATCACAGAAATCGGACGTTCAATAACGGTGAACCCTTCTAGGCTCTGGAGCTTGCTGGAGGCGACCCATCCGGCTCCTGGACACCGCAATGGGACCTGGAGATTGATAACACCTTCTGTCAAGATCTAGGCATAGGGACCACGATTTTCTCTCTCACGTCGCCTGGGGCCCCAATCGCTGGCTTGGAAGGTTCTGTCAAGCTTGCCAGTGTCTCGAACGACTACCTTGCATCCATTCGGGACAAGGACCCTTCCAGGTATGGGTTTTTTGCCACGGTTCCAGATCTCCGTAACACCGCCGCCGCCCTCGCCGAGATCGAGTACGCCCTCGATACTTTGAAAGCAGACGGCGTCACCCTCTTGACCAGATACGGGTCCACCAACATGTACTTGGGTGACGAAACCTTCGCGCCGATTTGGGCGGCGCTCAATGCGCGGAAAACTGTCGTCTTTGTGCATCCCACTCACTCGGTAGACACCAATCTGATTGCCCGCAACCTCCCGCAGCCGATTGTGGACTACCCACACGAAACGACGCGTACCGCCGCAGACATCATCATGGCAAATGTCCAAAGAAACAATCCGGATGTCAAGATCATCTTAGCCCACGCGGGAGGCGGCTTACCGTACATAGCGAAACGTCTCGCATCACTCGGAGAGGTTGGACTCACGACAAAGACGGTCGATGAAGTTCTCGAGGACATCGGCAACTTCTACTACGACGTGGCGTTGTCTTCCTCCAAGCAGAACATTGACCTGCTGTTGTCGTTCACCAAACCCGATCACTTGCTATATGGTAGTGACTATCCATATGCACCACGCAAGACGATTGATAGGTTCGCCAAAGAGCTGGACGAGGCTGTTGCAGACGATTCGGCTTTCGCTCAGGCTTTGAACAGGGGGAACGCCCTTAAACTATTCCCGCGTCTGAACTCACAATGATGGATGCGCCGAGCAGGACAGCAAGGGACTTGAGCGCATGGCGAATGGCCCGACAATAGGACCGGCTGCATCACTTTTAAAACACATACAAAACCTATTGAAACCTGCTATACAATCCCCGTTTTCTTGTGGGGCAAGCCAGGCTCGTGCTATACCATTCTGGGTTACTATAGACTATCCCAGGAGATACCTCAGAACAACCACACAGCTCTAGTTCTGTCAGACCTGCAGTCTTCCAACCGCTTGGTCGCAATTTCAACCATTTCCAAGGCACTCGGTGCCTTCTACTCTCAGCGTGCCCGCAAGCTTGATCCAGCTTAGAGCTTGTCGTCGAATACATTCTCTTGCCGTCTAGATAACCAATGTCATACGGACACATGACCTCCCTAAGAACTAATCCTGAGCTTGACTGTGCACCGCTGCCGCGCTTGCACCATGGCGGGACAAATAGGCAGAACCTGTACTGGATCTGAAGCGTAGGAAGCCACCGTCCAAGGTGTGCAATGCGACTTCCCCGTGCCATCCATCGACCGTGGTGGTTCACACGTCAGCGACGGGCCGTGGACTTTGGCTCCCTCGAATTTTCATCCTATCCTCATTTCATTGTTTACGCAGACCCCACACACCTGGCATATCGGGTTGGGTCGTACGAATATATGTTTTTTGCCCTGCATCTCACGCGCCGTCCTTGACTGCATCCATAAGCCATTACAGACATACCTATCTATCGCCCACCGCGGGCTCGCAGCCGGCCAGACCTCTCTGCGGGCAGGGGATCTAGGAGACGATGTCGACTTCTCCCCACCCGCCAGTGCAGCCGCTCGACGCCAGTCTCCAGCCGAGTCGCGCTGCCCCTGTGACGGAGAGGACGAGCCTCCGCTCCGAATATCGTGAGACCATACGCAGACTGCTACAGCACACGGTGTTCGCCCTCCTCCTGGCAATCCGACTCTACATGCTGCCTCTTCTGTACATCTCCCACAAGCTCTCCGTGCGCGATGACCCTTGGTACCCGACAATCCGGAATCTGGTCCTGCGCCCGGGACGGACATTGGCCAATTGCCACCGATGCCGCCAGAGAAATAATGGCAATGTGAAGATTTGGAATGCATGGACGAGTGTCAGGGACGGGCTCTTTGTACCCGTCAGAATATTCAAGAGCCTATACACGTTGGGCAGGATGATTGGCGAAGTCCCAAACGCTCTACCACCGTGTCCATTTCCTCAGCTGATGAATCGTGGAACGGCCAGCGACATCGAGGGTCCAGGCAAGGGCGACGGTACCGTGGGAGATCAGGGTACGGAATCGACAGATTCTGCGCTCGAGGCGCCCGCCAGTGCGTCCCAGATATACCATGCAGCACTGCTCAGCAGCAGCACTCTCGATGAATTGCTTGCGGCTTTCGAAGCCGACAGGGATAATCGAGTAATGGGCAGTGATCACCTTGTGATCCGCCGCGGTCGAGATGCATGGCTTTCGGCGGGATCTCTTGATGTAACGGGTCGGCGTGGGCGGCAACAATATCGTACTTTGAGTGTCCGGTCTACCCCCGAGGCGGTGCTTGCTGCTGGAAAGGCGCATGAATCTTTGTGCGGCCGTGGTGCTCACTCATGTCCACGAGAGTTTCAACTGCAAAAGACACCAGACCGGCGAGCCAACGCATGCCAAACGCAGTTTCAATCAGACAACCAGTCACCCAAGAACAGTCCCGAGTTACACACGTCTCCTTGCACACGCGACCTCCCTGAGGCGCGCCAACCTGACGGCGAGCTGGACGCAGGTGGTTTGGATCGCTGCCCGACATTTGTTCGTCGACACGCTCAAAGTCGGCTTCCGAAACGATCGATGACCGGGGACAAACAGGCCTTTGCCATGTTGAAGGAACGAGGTGCGGTGTCAACTCCTGAGCTGCCTGTGTCTCCGCCGACCCCGACTAAACGCGTCCGGCTGCAACGAAGAGTACGACCGAGGAAAGATATTGTGAAAGCTTCGAATGACTGAACCGCAAGGTGCAAACTCCGGTTGAATGTGAAGAGCACAGAGTCTAGCATTGAACTTATCCGGTAGAGCCTTGCGCGCAGGTGTACCTCTTCTCCTAGATGGAAGAGAATGGTTTCCAGTAGAACGATGGATTCATAGATTGCTTGTTGCCAGGTGCATCCAACAAAGCGAAGAAGTGTCAGTACAAAAGCATCCGTTTACGTTTTTCGAGGTTCTGCTCCTTGATCTGATAGACACATTGCTGAATTTGTTTGCTATTTGAAAGAAATTCACATGTTCCGGGGAAAGGCTGGGGGTAGCAACGCGTCCTGATTAAGCTAATGGGAAGAGGGTTGTTTCCAGCTCACCGACGTCAGTTTCAGCTAAGGCTCAGCTTGGATGTCAGCTTCAGAGAGTTCTCTCTGCTCCTGACAGACCTCTGCCCCTCCGTTGCTTGATGTTCCTACCCATCAATGGAGGACGAAGAGGCTGGCCTGAGTCGGTCCCGGGGATATGAGAGACTCGCAACTTGACGCTGTTCTTGAAAGCACTCGCATTTATGTCATTTTCAACAAGAGCCTCGAGCTCAGACAAGAGGTGGAAGCGGAACTGTCGAACTGACCTCGTGACACAGTGATATGCCAACAACGGAACTCGACTGGCCAGAGCAAGAGTTGAAATGACGTCGCACCGAAGTGAGTGGTAGCCGGCATCATTCACGAGAGTCTCTCGTGTTCTGTCACCAGCGAGACACAGAGACTTTCTTCGACGAACAAGCAGCGGACATTGCCTAGACTCTGCACTGGGTCAGTGATTGCACCAATTTGTAGTTTGCAGTCTCGGATCCATAAAAACTGAGAACTGTGCAGGATGAGGTGGTATCCTATAGCATTACTGAGCTTCCCGGGCTCTTTCTTCATTTCGCTTGAACGAGTCCATGTCAACGTGGTGGTGCAGCTCAAAGTTTCCGGCGGACATAGCTTGGTGTGTGATCTGCGAACGTCGTTACAGACACTCACCTCGCTACAACAAGAGGAGCTGTGAGACAAGCTGTTCTCTTTGGCTGTTGGACTTCGCGAGACTAGGAGGTCGGTAGTTGGCTATGGCGGTAATATTGTAGGAAAAACGAGCGCCACATGCGCTGCACGTAAGCCACATTTCACTTTGGCTGGAGCCTCACTAGCCGCGTCGCCGCCAAGCTGCTGCTCTCGCGCGTCTGGGGGCGCGCCTCACTAGCCTTTTTAATTATCTCTCAGGCATTTGAAGGGTCCGCGATGCGACAACCTCAGGTCTAGATATATTTCGCTTTGCCTTGTGGTCATTCGCGGTCCGCCTCCATCTCCTTGTTAAAGCCATCTCAGTTGTCCCTCTTGCAGAATCTCTTTCATTCCAACATTGTATCCTCGCCTGAGTGAAAACCTTCTGATATCCTCCCCACTGCTGCAAGTGGCGCAGCGCTGATATGATGTCGGTGTCTTCCTCTTTACAGCGCAACAACGAACTAACAGACTCCATAGGGAGAACTTCGAAAATATTTATCTCGACCTCTCGAAACAGTCTGGCCGTTGTCGTCTGGCAGAGAGCGGACTCGGCTGGAAGCCCAGTGGAACCAGCGAACCCTTCACTTTAGACAGCAACCAGATCGGCGCGGCGCAATGGAGTCGAGCAGCAAAAGGCTATGAGCTGAAGATAATCACACGCGATGCCGCCGTCATCCAGCTTGACGGATTCGAGCAAGACGATTTCGACCGTGTCTCAAAAGCTTTCAAGATCTGGTATGGCATCAACGTGGAAAACAAGGAACATGCGCTGCGAGGTTGGAACTGGGGTAAAGCAGAGTTCGGAAGAGCAGAGCTCGCTTTCAATGTCCAAAACAGACCCGCCTTCGAGATCCCCTACTCAGAAATCTCAAACACGAACTTGGCGGGCAAGAATGAGATTGCCGTCGAGTTCAACATGGGACCAGATGGCGCTCAGAATGGCGCAAATGGCCACAAGCCCGGAAGCACCAAGAATCGAGGTCACAAGGCGGCCGCAGGCCGAGACGAGCTTGTCGAGATGCGGTTTTACATTCCAGGCACAGTATCAAAGAAAGAAGTGAACGGAGAGGAGGGTAGTGGCGCCGATGAGGAAGAGGAACAAAATGCCGCCAACTTGTTTTATGAGACCTTGATGGATAAGGCAGAAATTGGGGACGTCGCGGGCGCCACATTCGCAACCTTTCAGGACATATTACATCTCACACCCAGGTACGTGTCAATTCTGTTTTTGATATGCAGCTCGTGACTGACGTATGGATCCTGGGTCTCAGAGGTCGTTTTGACATCGACATGTACGAGCACTCTTTCCGCTTGCGTGGCAAAACATACGACTACAAGATTCAGTACCAATCCATCAAGAAGTTCTTCATTCTGCCCAAGAACGATGAAATGCACACGCTCATCACTCTTGGCCTCGACCCTCCTCTCCGGCAAGGTCAGACGAGATATCCTTTTATCGTGATGCAACTGAAGCTGGACGACGAAGTCAACCTGGATCTGAACATGACGGAAGAGCTCCTCGAAACTAAATACAAGGACAAGCTTGACGCACATTACGAAGCCCCCATTCACCATGTCATTGCCAAGGTCTTCAAGGGCCTGTCGGGCAAGAAGATCATCATGCCCTCCAAAGACTTTGTCAGTCACCATAACATGAATGGGGTTAAGTGCTCCATCAAGGCCAACGAAGGTTTACTGTTTTGCCTGGACAAGAGCTTCATGTTCGTGCCCAAGCCCGCCACTTACGTCCCGATCGACTCGATACAAAGTATCACCATGTCACGGGTCGGAGGAGCTTTGGCGGCGAGCCGAACATTTGACATCACCATGACCTTAAAGAACGGACAGGGAGAGCACCAGTTCAGTAATATCAACCGCGAGGAACAACAGCCTCTCGAGGCGTTCTTCCAGGTAAGCAAATATCTTTACTTTCTACAGTCGCTACTCGGGCTAATGACGGAAAAAACAGGCCAAGGGTATCCGGTTCAAGAACGAGATGCTCGACGACTCCTCAGCCCTGTTGAAAGCTGCTCTCGACGACCAGGACCTAGCTTCCTCGGACGAGGAAGACGATGCTGGCGTAAATCGCGGTTCTGCAGACGAGGATGACGAGTCACCAGATGAGGACTTCCAAGACGAATCGGAAAGCGACGTCGCTGAAGAATATGATTCGGCCCACGAGAGTGATGGGAGTGATGCGGGTAGCGATGCGGACATGGCTGATGCCGATGACGATGCTGCTGGCGCTAGTGAGGACGACGAGGAAGAGGAGCGACCGCCAAAGAAGAAGGCGAAGAAATAGCGGCATGGCTCTAGCATGGACCGGCCCCGAAGATGAGCTGGAGACCAACAAGTGCTTTGTATATCAACGCCGAGCAGATGCGGAACCTGTACGGAGTAATCATAACTTGAACCATGATGCGCAGGTCAACATTTCCCAGACAAACGATCAGACACGATTCTTAGCAACTTGTCGCGTCTTGGCAAAACGACATTAACGCGACGAAATTCACCTCTCCCCCATATTTAAATCGTCTTCTTTGCGCCTCTTCTCGTGATTCTCTCACCACGTGACGACGACATCTTCAACATTGACCAGGTTGCCAAGATGATATCGGATCGGATTTACGATCATCCGAAGGCGCTAGCCACTGCGGCGGCATCGGCGGGTTTAAGAAGTCGAGGGTGTCTGTCGGTAAACCTGCCAGTGCGTTGCAGACAACAACGCAAACCGAGCGAACATGGCGTCGCAAAAGGCCGCCAAATCAAAGTCCTCTGGGACTGTGAGGAGTCGTACAGGGTGCCAGACTTGCCGCGCACGCAAGCTGAAATGCGACGAGGTAAAAGCGCGCCGCATTCCTCGCTGTTGATGAAGACTGACTGATCGCGAAATTCAAGGCAAAGCCGATCTGCGGACAATGTCTAAAGTCGCACCGCGACTGTGTGCGCTCCGAGCGTGAGTCGCCCTGTCCTCCGCGGTCGTCAACCAGACCTCAGTGAACTGACACTCCTGACACAGCAATCACCTTCCGCCACCACCAGAACTCGAGTTTTGGCAAAGATGGCCAAGAACATTCACTGGACAGTTTCTTCAAGTATAGCCAAACGTATAGTGAAGACGATCTGAAGTCGTTTCTGCCGGTACCACAACAACGTCTGTATCTTGACAACTAGCAACTTGGATAACGAGACTGACTGCCTCTTCAGTGACTTGGATCCATGTCGCCGACCCGAATGCAGACGATGCGAACGCCGTCACCCCTCCTCGCACTCCTACCACCTCTGACATGGTCCAGCAAGTCGCAGCTCACACTTTAGAAGCTCTATCGACCGCAGCCGCTGACCAGACCTCATATCCACCCCAAGGCACTGCCTACTATACAACAGCAAACCCTGCAACAGAATCTCACCCTGAATACGGATTCGTGCAAGCTGAACCCAGTAGCTCTACAAGTGGTGGTCTCTCCAGAAACATTCACTATTATCTCAGCAATTCGTCTCCTCAGAATCAGACCGACGCCTCCTTGATCGACCCGAATCTTGAGTCCACTGTGACCGCCAATTCACAAGAAGGCGGGCAGCAGGACGCGCCGCGTGACACAAAAGAGCAGAGCGAGGATAACGCACCAAAAGTAGAAGACCCGTTGACTGATGCCGACACTAGGGTCGCTATGGCGCTCAGAACCTTTAACGAGCTACAAACATAGGGCTCAAGGACGATTTTGGAGATACGATAGAAGGCCATGATGGACATGTCATGATAGAATCATGTCAAGCCAACATGAAGATATTGAATGATGATTTTCATTACGGGAGCGACGGACGGCAGGCGCTAGAGAGGGCATCACGGGGCTTTGAACGAGCGAAAATACCGTCAAATGATCTAGGCACAGAACACTCCACCCAGTTGGGCGATTGAGGCTGGTCCTAGAACGGGATGTGTCAACCCATTCGGAGGCGGTTAACGACTGTACTACTAGCTTTGACACAAATGGAGAGGGCAACTTCGTGCCGAGCCATAGGCAAGGCGAATTTCAATGTTTCTACTCCGTACTCGTGTGTTTTTCAAATAATAACGTATGCTCCAGGTCCCTGATGCGAAGGCCGATGGCGGAGTCAACCCACAAACCAGACGAAGCTCCACCCCAAGGGAAGGAAGGCCTTGGGCGCGGAGTCTACTCGTAGCTCGCTCCTACATGCAGGAGACACAGGAGGTCATGCATGTCTCGCCGGTGGGTGCCGAGACGCGTATGTTTCGCCCTGCCGAGTTCTTGGATGCGCCCAGTCAAAACTCCACGGTCAAGGGGCCGACTGGAACGACTGGCTGAGGGCTCTTGTGCCGGCGTTTCCAGTAAAGGGAGGTGTCAATGGAGCTACATAAAGCAACGGATGTAGGATCGAACGGAGCATTTTTGGTATTGTCCACCTGCCGAACAGATTGCGTCTCTGGAGTCAATCATCAAGGCCTGAGCAGATTCCGGGGGTGCTTGGCCCAGAAGGCCACGCAAGCCACTTTGCCAGGGACCGTCCGACGTTAGCGACGATGCTGGTACGGGCACGGGCTCTGGAAGTGTTGTCCGCAGACCAGGGAAAGCGAGGAGGAAACTCGGCGGGATCTGGTAGCTAAGAACTCGGCTCAATCTCCTTGGTGGATGATTTCATGATGTCGCTGGAGCTTGGGTGATGAGTGGATGGGAGGCTTTGGATCTCCAAATTGGCCTCGTGTAGCTCGACTAGAGAGTTTAGTTGGCTAGAGACGTCATCAAACGGCAGACGATGCCTCGTCCAGACGAAACTTGGAAGTCTGGGAGAAGAGTGACGCCTTGTGGCTTTTCTGGCAGATCTGGACGGCTTGGTTTTACCTGATTCTGTTCTAGTTTGAGCGAAGTGGCCGGCGTATCGTGGTGAGAATCGCCTGGTGACGGTTCTAGAGGGGGGCCTCGAGGTGTCCACTTAACTGTGTGTTTAGTTAAACAACGTCCAAAAGCAAAGCAGAAAAAGTTGAACCACTATGACATGGCGAGACGGATACCACCCACACCACATCACCTGCGGCCCAGATCACCAAGCTCGCAAGTAGTACATCTCAGTTGTTGTTTCCACTTCCCTTTTCACCTCCCTCCTTTTGTCTATTGACCGCTCGCTCAAACCAGCTGCCTTTCCGCTCTCTTTTTTCCTGTATACCCGCTGTGGCCTGCACTGCCACAAACCCGGCCCTCCATTACCCGCCGAACCCGTTCCTCTGGGCGACACCTTATGATGGCAAGCTGAAAGATACCTCTTGCTCTTCTCCGACAAGGCAAACGCAGGTGTGTGCTGGTGAGGACAACAGCTACTTGTCGTCAAGTCGCACGCTGCACGGTCCTCTTCGATCCTTCCCTTCCAGGCCGTCATTGTGTGCGGCAAGTGAGTCTGGGCCCGAGCGGCAGGTGCAAGTTCCATAAGGCTAAACACCGACAACACTGTCAACATGGGCCGCCTTCGCAACCTGTCCGAGAGCTTCAAGGCTGCGGCGTTCAGCAATTCGACCCTCTCGATCCCTTCGCTCTCAAAGTCGTCCTCCCCCGGCCAGACACAAATCGTCGACAAGGACTTACCGTCACCGGCACGCTTCCAGGACTCCCCAACCCCCACCGAAACCCCTCGAACGACCCCTCGGACAGACCGGGTTGCGTCCCGTCCGGCATCCATGGTATATACGCCTCCGTCAATGGAGTTTGAAAGAGAAAATCACATTGAGGAGTTGAAACCAGTGTTCAGGTGCGCCTGGCGGCCTGGTTATATGGGATTCTAGTGCTGACGTTCCCACTAGTTTCCTCTCAAGTCACGGCAACAAGCTGTATCAAGAAGGTACTTATTGCTGACTTGTAAGATCAACATGTCCCGATGCTGATCATCCCATGCAGGATACTTTCTAAAATTGAACGATCTTGACACTCGTGAGTTCTCCCGATCCCTCTTCAACCTTTCCCATTGAGTAACCCTGTGAAAGACGGACGACCCAATGCGGATCGCAACTGGACTGAATGTTTCGCTCAACTGGTGGGCACTGTGCTCTCACTTTGGGACGCAGCTGCTTTGGATGCAGCTGGTCAAGATGGAGAAGTTGCTCCCACATTTATCAACTTGGCGGATGCTTCCATTAAGATGGTAGGATATACAGACTTTCCCGGGCGGCCTGATTCTGAGGTTCTGGCAGATTGAGACACTCCCTACACGAAATCCCGATGTTCAGCCCCTACAGAATGTGCTGTCAATATCCACGGCAGGCAAGAATCGATACTTGTTCCATTTCAACTCGCTGCATTCTCTGACCCAGTGGACGGCCGGCATCAGACTCGCAATGTTTGAACATTCCTCGCTCCAGGAACTGTACACGGGCTCCCTAATTGCGGGTAAAGGAAAATCCTTGAACAACATCCGCACGATCATGGAACGGACAAAGTTCAAGGCGGAAGACTGGGCACGCGTTCGATTTGGCGCCGGCACTCCATGGAGGCGATGCTGGTGTGTGATAGAACCTCCCGATGAGAAAGAATGGCAAAGGTCGAACAAGTCTCTGAAGAAGAAATCAGTGTATGACCGACCCGCCCTGCCCAAGGGGGTTATCAAATTCTATGACACCAAGAAAACCAAAAAGGCTCTGCCTATCGCGACCATAACCGATGCGTACTCGGCATACGCCATCTATCCCCAGTCGAAACCGTTGATCGACCAGTCTACTTTGGTCAAAGTCGAAGGTCGCATTACGATACACTCAAAACCAGAATCCAGGACCGAAGGCTTTGTTTTCGTGATGCCCGAGGTACATCCCGCAGTCTCGGGCTTTGAAATGATGCTTCGTTGGCTTTTTCCAGTATACGACATCTTCCACCTCTACGGCCGTCCTCAGCGATTGATCGCCGATACATGGGACACCCGGGGCCTCATGTTTGCGATGCCGCGCGACCGGAGATATGGCTATTTGGACATCATTGACGTTGCAGCGCTAATCCACTCTCAAGGGAGTGAGAAATGGAGCGAACGCGAATGGCGTAGACAATTGAAGGAGGCAACCTCCAAGCGAATGTCAATGACCGCGCAAGGACGTTTGAGCAGCAACTTGGAAAACAGGCGACAAAACCGAGTGTTTTCGGAATCGAGGCAAGGTGTGCAGTACGACGATGCTGAATCAGTCCGTTCATCGCCGCCTTCTCGACACCAGCACAACCAATCAACCGATGCAGTGTTTGCTTCCCCCAAGAAATCTGCAACGGCTCCAGCGAACATCGCGTATCTTTCGCCTGGGCAAAACCACCATTCGAGGTCTGTATCAGAATCTGTTGCCTACATGTCACCGACCCAGAATCGTCGCCAGCATGAAAACTACAACCCATCCAGGTTGTCCGCTGAATATACCGATATGGAGCCTATTCAGCCTCCGCCGGCACCTCCAGCTCATCGAAATCCATTCAAGAACAACGTCATACATAGTGAAGCCGAAACATCAGACAGCCGGTACAGCTCGGATAGCGACGGTCAAGGGCCGCGTACTCAGCCGGAAGATATCCAAGAAGATGTGAGGGAAGCAACACCACCTGCGCCGGTGGTGGCTCCTCCAGATATGCAGCACCAACACAGCGACGTCCCACAGAGGCGACCCGACGCCCGACCGGACTTGAGACGTGAGAAAAGTCGCATGTCAAATGGAACATTGTCTCAGATTGTCGATGTGAATAAACTCGCGAGTGGTGGGGCGGCGGGGCATGCAGCGTTGGTGGCGTGGAATAATGGCCGACAAGGCGAGAATCAGGGGCTACGAGGGGTAAATGAGACCCCTCGCGACGAAGAAATATCTGCTAATCAACTCGTGTCTCAAGAAGTGGTAGCAGAAGGTGCTTATATGCAAAACCCTGCTGATGTCAGACCAGAACATCCCCGAGTCCCTACCGAGCATTCAATAGCTTCCAAACCGATCCATCGAAAGCCAGTCCCGACCCCGACCTCAACTTTGTTGGCGCCATCAAACCGTGCTCAGTCGCCCGACAGCATGTCTAAATATTCAGCTTCTAGCTACGATAAGGCACCGAGCAGTTCACCAGACTATGACAGCCTGCCCGAGGATGACGACCGCCCTGTCTTCCACAGAAAGACCAGGACAGGCGTCTTGAAGACAGTTGGAGATCCTCAGTTGTCTAGTGGCATCCAAGACACGGCGAAAGTCGACATACCTGTCGTTGACTTTGGCGTGACCTTCACACCAAGCTTGACTCCGGGACACAGCCGCCCTCCGACAGCTTCTGGAATCACAGGGCGACAGTCACCATTTGACCGGCCTCCAACAGCTCCCGCAACCCCTCTGACCAGATCTCCCCAAGATGAGCGAGTCTCGCCGGCCAACTCAACACCTGGTGACGAGCAAAGGTCGCCTTTGGCCGAGAGGAACAGCCCCAAGGGAAATCATTCCCGGTCTTCGAGCTATGCTTGGCATCCTGGAACGACTCTGGCGAGGCACAACTCTATGGGGGGCTTAACGGCTGAGGAGTTCGTCCAACAACGCGCTGTCGCTGCGAGAGCGCCACAGGGTTATGTGCCTCATCGCAGCGTTTCTTACAGCAAGGTTGAGCAGTCACCAAACAAACTGCAGAAAAAAAGAGATTCGATGCTCCGATCAAGCTCGAGACATTCATTGTTGATCGATCCATCATCACATCTGTCGGCCAGAGAGCAGGAACATGTTGCGAAGATGACAGGCGGTCCACTGATCCAAGTGATTGACAGAAGCAAGACGCCAGACCCGTCAGTCGGACTGATCGGGGCGATCGAAGCACGCGAGCAGGAAAAGAGAAACATCAAGGAAGGCGTCGCTGGTCACATGGTTCAAGAGGCCATCGCGCAAAGGCAGGCGGCGGAGCGCACCTACGGAATGCAACAATACCCCGGTTACAACTCGCCTATCGACGTCAGACAAAGTGGGCAATGGATCAATGCTCAAACGCCTGCGTACTGGGGTGGTTCCATGCCGCAACAGCCACCGCAAGCTTGGTCGAATCAGCCAGCCTGGCAATACCAACAACAGGCCCAGGCACAGCAGATGCAACAGATGCAACATCAGCAGCCTAATCAGATGTATCAAGCGAGATTCAGTGGCTATTATGTGCCACCTAGTGGCCAGGGTTCTCGGTAGAGAGTCATTGAAGGGGATTCATGGGTGACTTTTGCATTGCAAGCGAGCGAGCGGTTCTGGCATCGACGGGCGTTGGGGAAAACACCTTGCACAGGGCATTTATCCGGGGTTGCATAGAATGATAAGAAAGTCCCCAGGTATAGGAGCTCCTTCCTCAAATGGCCAAGGACAAGCTAGAGGCAGGTTGGAGAGTAATGATAATGATTCCTGCATTGGCTGCGACCAGCACAATCCCACGGACGCCGCCCCGGATCTGGACAAGCGAAAGGCATTAAGCGAGGAACGGGGTCTCGCTGCGTGCGCATGCGTCTGCATGATCCCCCAAGTCCTCTGCATCCAAATTCTAGGGGGCTGGAGAGTTTGGAGGCTCGAGAAAATTCACCTGAGAGATAAAGCACGTGGCAGTCGGTGTAGGTACAGTAGCTCTGGCTGGATTGAGGAAAGCGAGGGGAAGCACCACTCGGCGACCAGGGAGGGACGCCTAGCCAGTGGCTCCTAGGGGCCGAATAACTGGCCCAGTGGCCTCGAGGGACCTAGGGGGGCAGGGGGGTACCCAGTTCGCACCCACTCATTGGCACCCAGGGCACCCGGGCTCCTGCTGTCCGCCCGCAGCGGAATGCGATCGTGAACCTCCAACTCCGACAACCCATGTCCTCCAACAGTTCCAAGAACATCACGGCCATAGTGCCTTTTCATGCCAACTTTATCTCACATCGACTATCCCCCCCCGAACAACAGCACGGCGGACCTCTTGCACTCTCTTTACTCGCTTCTTCCTGGTGTCTTGCGTTTCCGCGTCCAAGATACTCTGCATTTCACCCGTCTCACAGTCACAGCTGGCCTGCTGACTGAGAATTCGGGGCCTCCCGTCTAAGCAAAGCAATTTCTGAATCTCTCCCTGTCCACGTACGCAGTTGTCCGTTGTCCGACACCCCCCCTACGACTTCTGTCTGCTGTGCACGATACAAATCGCTGCCGCCATTGGGATCGCCATGGTCTAAACTACGTTTTTCGTCGACATCTCACGCCATGCCGTTGCGGACTCTACTGCCGTCGAAGCCTGCGTCAGGTCCTCCTCACCGAAGACACAGCAGTATCGTCGAAGATCCCCCCTCGACTTCGGCCAGCAGCAATGTGCCGTCCACTCGCACCCGCAGCCGTGGTAGTTCATTGAAGAGGCTGAGTTTGAGTTTGTCGCGGACAAACGAAGAACCCTTCCCGCCATTTTTGACACAGGATGTTGAAGGACTGCCCTCCCACCAGCCCCCCGTCCAGCCTGATGTACCCTTCCACCAACCCGACCCTCCAAAAAGTGCCAGCTCTCCAGCGACCAGATCATCCACGCGGATTGAAGGAGGAGGAAGAAGTCACGGGCTTCAAAATGATCTCAGCTCTGGTCCTCTGCCCATGCCTCAAAGGCTGTCACTCTTGGGATTGAGGCATGCGTCGGACCCACAACTGTCTACCAGATTTAAGAATGAGGAGATCAGTCCCTCGAATGAAGTACCTCGTATGTCTCCTCTGTCTTGTCTTGTGAAGCTGGTTGCTGATTTTTGTCGTGCAGCGCCTACAATCATCACAACCGCGCCTACGACGAATGAATTCGACGAGCCTGTCCAGAAGCCATCCAAACGAAGATTGTTTGCCCGAGCGCCGAGTCCATTTCGGAAGAGTCACAGTTTTAGACGGACTATTCTAGACCCTCTGAAAGGTACAGCTACAGAAGACGTGCAGGACGAGAAGGGGAACTTGACGAAGCGCGGAATGCTTAAAGAATCCACCTCTTTTGAGCGTCTTCCGCGGCCCAAAACTGGTCATTCTGGCGCAGAGCCACCTGCGTACGGTGACGAATCTTCGTCCTCGCTGGCTATCCCCATTACGAGACTCTCGGAATCGTCTCGATCGGATGACAGTTCTGGTGACCACCACGTCTACGCAAAGACTACCACTACACACACCATCTCCACCACCACCACCTTTTTCAAACTCAAGAGGCGCAAAAAGAACAAAGGCCCGCTTTTTCCACTGCCTGAAAAGTTTGCAACACCTGCCTCTGGCCGAACCACGACCTCGCACACCCCCCAGGAGTCCCTGATCGGGAGGAAATCAATGTCGCCAAGTAGGAGATCAAACACGGCGGTCAGATTTGATACTGAGCCAAGTCGACATGGTTCTGCAGTTCCCTCACCGACTCACTCTGCTGTGGCACTTACCAACGCTCCGTTCGGGTCACCAGGAGCCACCATCGTACGGCAAGACTCCAATTGGTCCACCCACTCCGGTCAATCAACTCCATCGGTGACACTCGTGCCTCCGCGAGTATCGGGGAGAGGAAGATCTTCGACCCTAAGTTCGCTAGGGAAATCGACTGAGAGGCTATCTGACACAGGTCCTCAGCCAGCATCAACGCGAACATCGACATCCACGAGTGGCAGAAGAAGCTTTGGCGACCTGTTATCTCTCCCTCACAGGTTACGGCAGAATTCTGCGCCACCTACGCGCCCAGGTGCCGGCTCAGTTCCCGGAACGCCGGGCTCCAAATCCAACTCCTTGCATATACCTCGAGAGCCAGAACCAGAGCGAGTGTATCCCAAACGAGAGGATGGCGATACGCCAGCTAGTTACCTGGAAAAGCTCGATGCCGCAGTTCCCAGAAGCGCGATGGCATCCATTCTTTGCAAGAGCGCCGACGACTTCTCCAAAACCTGCTTGCGCAAGTACATGCGCGGCTTTTCCTATTTTGGCGATTCCATTGACATGGCGATCCGGAAAATGTTGATGGAGGTGGAGTTGCCCAAGGAAACTCAACAGATTGATAGACTCCTGGCCGGGTTCGCGGACAGATACTATGAATGCAACCCGGGAATCTTCTCCTCGACGGACGAAGCTGCTTTTGTTGCGTTCTCCATCCTTCTCCTTCACTCAGACACTCACAACAAGAACAACAAACGAAAGATGCAGAAACAAGATTACGTCAAGAATACCCAACAAGGGCCGGTGCAGATCTCGAGTGACATCCTGGATTGCTTCTACGACAATGTGTGCTACACGCCCTTCATCCATTTCGAAGACGAGGTCGCCGTCAACAGCCACCGTCTCTTGGCGCCTAAGCCAAAGAGAAGCTTGATCAAGACTAGAAGCCTCGAGAGCCTCCGCGGTCCGGTTGATCCGTACACCCTGATTCTGGACAATAAACTAGACGTCTTGCGGCCATCTCTAAAGGATGTCATGGATACAGAGGACTGTTATTGTTCCACGGGGACAGCAGGCGTTCTCGAAACCGATCACCACCATAAAGCCTTTGTGAACTCGGCCGTGCTGCAAATTGTGTCTGCAAGGTCGAGGCCCGATGCTTTCTTATCCCAAGCCACCATCAGCAACCCTGGTGAAGCGCAAGCTGGCCTGGTCAGTATCAAGGTTGCCAAAGTGGGGTTGCTGTGGCGCAAGGACCCGAAGAAGAAGAAGGCCAAGCGCCCGTGGCAGGAATGGGGTGCGATCCTGACCGACTCGAAGCTCTACTTCTTCAAAGACGTCGGGTGGGTCAAGAAACTGATTGCGCAGTATGACACACATTCCAAGTCCACCAATAGATCTGTTCCTCTCGTCTTTAAACCGCCACTCACTTCTTTCGAGCCTGACGCGCTGATGTCTATGGACGACGCTGTGGCGTTACTGGATTCGAGCTACAAGAAACACAAGAATGCCTTTGTTTTTATCAAACACGGAGGTTTTGAGGAAATATTCCTGGCTAACAGCGAGGTCGAAATGAATGACTGGATTGGCAAGCTCAACTATGCAGCCACTTTCCGCACCGCCGGCGTGAGGATGCGGGGGCTGCTAGGATCGAACTACGAAGGCCGTCATCTCCTTCGAAAGGACTCTGATTTCTCCAGCAAAAGCGGAGATACTCCGCAGAAAGACAAGAAGGCCGACCCCCAGCTGGCGTGGGAAATTATGTTCTACCGCCGGCAATTGATCAACGAGAAAATCAGCGATTTCGACGAGAGGATCGCGGTGGCTCAAAAGGAACTCGACCATCTCCTCCGCAATGCACGGCACCTGCTCATCCTGCTCCCCATCCAGCAGAAGACTCGTGAATTTCTTGTGCTGGCTGCCGGCCGGATGTCTGCCAAGTTGAAGTGGACTAGGGTGGAACTTTGGAGAACGAGGACGCATCGAGACATTCTGTTCAAAGACCTCGAAGAGGAGGGCGCCACCGCGTTCCCTGCTCCCAAGGCGTCGTTGGCGTCGACGCCTCAGAAGACCACTCCTCTGAAGACGGGCCAAGCAGATCTCGGACGAACCATCACCGACACGAGCCACGTCACCTTGTCACCGATCAGTGCTACTTCGTCGAGACCGTCCAACATCATTGATAAGCTCAAGACGTCAGAAAATGTCAGCATGCGGACTGACCAAAGCACGGTCGACCTTCCATCGGCCACCAGCCCATCTCTGTCCGCGGAGCCGTCTCTGTCGAGGCACGAAAGCATTCAAGATTCGCACAGTCTGTCACACCAAGTTTCGACCACCAGCTCCCGCCATAGCCGAGACAGAGACCGGCTCGCACGTGGGGCGGACGACTCTGAGGAACGTGTCTTGCGTGAAGCAGGGCTGATGCATGTGGACGGTAACGTCGCCCGGGATAGAAGGCCCGACACCAGTGAGTCCGAAAGGGATCGGGTTGGCGCAATGGCGGGTGCAACTGAGCCTTCGTCCAAGACGGGAAGTGTCCGCCGAAGCCTACAACGGAGCTTGCGCGAGCCGCATCATCACCACCATCACCATCATCTTCACCAGTCACCCAGCGTCCATCGCCATAAGAAGGGTAAGGAGTCGGGCTCTAGTTTGGCTACGACAGAGGATGGAGGCAAGTCGGTGCACGGCGAGGCCGAAGAATTGAAGCGCGGCACCGGCAGTTTCATTCTGCATGGCAAGAAGGCCAGTGTCATTACCATGTCTCCAGAATGGCAGCATATGTCTAACGAGGAGAGGCTGAAGCTGAGAAAGGCCGAGCGGGAAAATGAAGAGGCGGTCGATGACAAGGCTCCAGTGTCTACCACGTCCCTCAACGGAGATGTGACTCTGAGGACGGCAAGCAATGCTTCATCGACGCACGAAGAGGACTGGGATGATCGGTTTCGGTCGCCGGATTCGAGTCGGAAGCAAAGCTTTGCGACCACGTCGGGGGAACAGTTTGTGGACGCGGAAACTGGCGAGGGCGATGATGCGGCAGACGCGGCTTGTGGAGTGGAAGCTGGAAAAACATGAGGCAAGGCTCACACGAGACTTTTCCTGGTCGCGAGGAGGGATCCTGGGATTTTGGGGGGTGGACCGGGCAAAGGATGATTGTCACGACTAACGGATCATGTTCAAAGGGCACGACTTTAGAGAAATGGGCATACCAAAACACGGACGCAGACCATGTAACGCTTATTGGGGATCTGGCGCAGATGAGACGGGATAGATGAGCATCAGATGCAGCGAGTCCTTGTTGCTGTGATTTGAATGGGAAAAAGTATTTATTCTTCGTCGCATGCTGGGTGTATGGACTCTCTCCCTGTACCTCCTACCTCTACGCTCTTTGCTCTGCGCCGAAGTCTTTTACGTGAACAGTGGCCGACTCATGACCACCAAGTGCTCTGTGCTGGCTTGTATTCGGCCTTGGTGATGCAAGACAATTTCCCATTCCGGCTACTTTGTGGATTTCCGCTTTCAGGAATCAGGCCTCTCAGCCCCCGTTTCCCCATGATATGTCATCTAATACGATTACCCGAGTACACGGTATAGGGCCGCCCGTTCCCCCTCCCCTCCCCCCTTATTTTGGGGCGTCTTGAAGGGGGAATTTTCGTTTCATTGGGCGTTTGTCATCATGTCCTTTGGAGGTAAAGGGTCGCTTGGGGTGGCATGGGTGGCATCATGAAATCGCCCACATGGGAACGAGGCGAGAGCGAGTGAGTGGGTAGGTGGGGTATGTGAGAGTACGAGAGGTGGCGGGTATGAGGGTGAGAGGATCGATCTAGCTATTGTTTGGACATTAATGTCGGCGTGATACATGTATGTGCCTATGTGTGTGTGAGTGTGTGTGTGAGTGACCTGCTTGTATGGTTGTGGTGGTCTAAATGCTGACGCCATGGTATAGTTTCATAAAGACCCCCTTTCGCTACATCCTTCGCCTTCTGCTTCTCTTTCTGCTTCTGCTCCGTCCGTTCTCTGCTTGTTTTTCATTTCAAGAGACCCTCCCAGAAGAAGGGAGAAAGAGAATTAAGTCAAGGCACAAACAATCCATACATCGATCGCCGGTTCAAACCGTCAGTCAGCACAATAAATACAGCGGCAGAGGCACCACCACCAGGGCGCCCCAACACAAAGACATGGCCGAACCGCCCAAGCCCACCTTCGTCATCGTCCACGGCGCCTGGCATGGGCCCGCGCACTTCGAGCCGCTGATGGCGGCGCTCCACCAGCACGGCTACCGGGCGGTGGCGCCGGCGCTGCCCTCGGTGGCCAAGGCGCCCGCGGAGGTCGTGCCGGACCACCAGGCCGACGTGGCGGCGGTGCGCGACGCCATCGAGGCCGAGCTGGCGCGCGGCGCCGACGTCATCGTCGTGCCACACAGCTACGGCGGGATCCCTGCCTCGGGCGCCATCCGGGGGCTCGACCGCACGAGCCGCGCCGCGTCGGGGGCGTCGACGACCACGGGCGTCGTCGCCATCGCGGCCATCACCTCCTTCCTCCTCCCCGCGGGCATGAGCGTGCCGGAGCTGGAAGGCCGCGACCCCCCGGCGGGGATAGGGGCGCTGTTCGACCCGCCCCCCGCGCGCCTGTTCTTCCAGGACCTCCCGCCCGCCGAGGTCGAGCGGTGGGGCTCGCGGCTGCGCGCGATGAGCTCCGCCGCGCTGTTCGACCGCGCCGCCTTCACCGCCTACACCGTCCCCGGCGTGGCGGTGCACTACCTCCTGGCCACGGACGACCAGGCCCTCACGTTCGCCACGCAGCAGCGCATCGTGGCGCGGATGCGCGCCGAAGGCGCCACGGGGCTGCGCACCGAGGTGTTCCGCGGGTGCGGGCATAGTCCGTTCCTCAGCCGCGTGGGGGAGACGGTCGCGTTCTTGCGCAGGAGTGCGGGCGAGGATGTCCCGGAGGAGTCGAATACGGGGTAGATAGAGAGGGGGGGGAGAGGGGGGAGTAAAGGCGAAGAATAGCGGGAGGGTGACCAAGGAGCAGTGAAAGGGAATGATAGACTGGACATGGGGATCAAAGATGAATAAGTCAAAGGGGGTAAAGGGTCAAATCTGGGGACCACGCGTGCTCTCACCCGGCAGGCAGGTGACGACGCTTGTAGAATGGGAGAAACACAATGTCATGCCCGACAATGGCTTGCTTGGAAGCCGCTTGAAAGCTGTTTGGTGGCTCTGACTGGTTTCGTCGAGGGGCTGCCGTCACAGTCTCACTCACACATAGCATCAAAACACTCTTCCTGTGCCGTCATGTCTTGCCCATCCATCCATCCATCCACGCCTTCTATCTTCTTTGCTCCCGCCGACGACAACACCCGACGTCGGTACAGATCAATCACACCTCAACATCATGTCAGTCGTCGATACCATCATACCTACCCAGAATCAAACCCTCAATACACCGGTAGAGGCCATAGGTCAGAAATCACAGGGTCACAGCGTATGCACCTCGTCCAGCGGATCCCTCACCCTGCCCTCCTCCCAGACCTTGTCCACGAGCGCCCGCCTCGCGTCGCTGCGCGGCTTGAGGTCAAACACAAAGGGCCGCGGCTGCACGTTGAAGCCCGCCGTGTAGTCGTACAGGGGCACCTCGACCCCCGGCCGTTTGGAGATGTGGCCGGCCCACGCGAGGCGCGCGACCAGCAGGTGCAGCGAGTTCTCGGCGATGTTCATGCCGGGGCAGATGCGGCGGCCGAAGCCGAAGCACGAGTAGTTCTGCAGGTTGGGGAACTTGGTCAGCGGCTCGCGGAAGGTCGGGAAGGCCGGGTCGAGCCAGCGCGCCGGGTTGAAGGTCTCGGGGTCCGGGTACAGGTCCGGGTCGCGGTGGATGGCCCTGGGGAGGCGGTGAGTGAGTGAGTGAGTGAGGCACAAGGGAAAGGAGGTGGAGGGAAAGAAAGAAGGGTATTTATTTACCACTGGTTTGGATGGATGTTGGTCCCCGCCGGCAGGAAGTAGCCGTTGTACACGTCGTCCTTGATCAGCTCGTGCGGCACCCCCCCAGCCGTCACGGGCCGCCAGCGCAGCACCTCCTTGATCACGGCGCGGCAGGTCGGCAGCGCGGGGATGTCGCTGAAGTCGGGCACGCGGCGGTCGCCGACGACCTCGTCGACCTCGCGCTGGATCCGGGCCTGCCACTCCGGGTGGTGGCACATGCAGAGCACGAACGACATCATGGCCGCGGCGGTGGTGCCGGCGCCGGCCTCGAAGAGCGTGCCGATGACATAGGCGCCCTCGTCGTCCGAGAGGCCGAACTCGGCCTGCCGCTCGAGGAACGTCTTGGAGAAGCAGCGCGGCGCGCCGCCGGCCGCGGCCTTGTCCCTCACCTCCAGCAGCAGGCCGCGGAAGACGTTGATCTCGAACTCGTGCAGGCGCGCGGCCTCGCGCTTGAACGGCGCCAGCCACGTCGGCAGGTACATCAGGGCCGGGAACGTGTCGACCAGGTACGCGCCGGGCGAGGCGACGCGCTCGACCGTGTGCACGATCTGCAGGATGTCGCGCACGTACGCCTCGTCGCCCGTGTCGACCGTCTTGCCGTAGCACAGCCGCATCACCACCGCGGCCGCGTAGCGCTCGAACAGCTGCTCGTACCGCTCCGGCGTGCGCAGCAGGTCCGACAGCAGCCGCTCCGCCTCGTAGATCTGCACGGGCTGGTACGACGTGGCCGAGGCGTGCATGGTCATGTTGTGCATCACTTTGCGTCCGCGGCGCCAGAGCTCTGTTCCATCACCCAACTCTCATATCAGTTTTTTCAGCCCATATATACACCGGGGCTGTAGGCTGGAGGCTGTAGGACGTGTCTAGGGGAAGGGAAAACAACGCACCTCCATAAGGCAAGAACAGCGGCCGCAGGTCGCGCGACATCAGCCTCGCGGCCATGGGCAGCTGCTCGCGCGACGAGTACAGGTTCCCGCGCTCCCGCAGGAGGTCGTTGGCGATCTTCTCGCTCGACACCATGACCAGGTTGCGGCCGAAGATGGAGAGGCGGTACAGCGGGCCATACTGGTCGGCCCACGCCTTGAACTTCAGCCACGAGTGCTGCGGCGGGATGTCGAGGAGGTTGCCCACGATCGGCTTGCCTGTTGGTGCCGCCGTCGCTCGGTCAGATAGATGAACGGAACGAATTATGTCATTTGGCCATTTGTGGGGAGGGATAGGAGTATGGATAAAGGGAAACAGCAGCAGCAACAGCACACACGACACCCCGAGGGAGACGACGTACCCTTTGGCCCGGGGGGTAATTTGGCATTGGCTGGGATCTTGGAGCGGTTGGCGTAGTGCTGGATGAAGATGCCCAGCAGCACGAGGACGACAGTGCTGGCCGTCAAGACCAGAGAGGGCATCTTGTGGTTGGTGGTGGTGGTGGTGGTTGACCTCGGTCGAGACACGTTGGAGGAGGCATGCCTTGCTCGGTTATATATACTGACACAAATGTTATACCAGATCCATGCAGGCTGATGCAAAGAGCTTTGATGTTTTCCCCAGCTTAGCCTCCTTGTTGCCCTGTCTTGCCTCTACTGTGCCCACCCCTCCCTCCCTCCCTCTCGCCCTCTCCCGGGCGTCCTATTGGAAGTTCCTTCGGTAAGCCAAAGCTACAAAGCGGAGATGCCACGGGCTTAGACACAGGGAATGCATCCTTTAGCGCACGCAACTCCGCACCATAACGAAAGTCTGTTTGTCTGTGGGTTGTCCTGGGTCCAGGGCAGATCTGGGTTAATCCAACATGTCATTTCCCATCCCCACGGATGCTGCCCCCTTTCGGCATTGTACCTCTCCTCTTTTTCCGCAGAGAACCATATGAAAGATCCATCGACATCTCTCAACAGCCTTAACGTATCTCTCAGGTCCGGCTGTGCTTGTTGTTCGCCGCAATCCCGTACCTAGGCGCTGAAGGAAAGCTGGACAGCGCCTCCAAGCCACCTATCCACCTACCCAACTAACCCTGGGGAAATAGATAGTTCCGTGCGGTCCATGGGGGGTTATCCCGAAACGCAGACTGGGGGTGTCTTCGCCTGAAAGATGTGGTTGGGCGGATTGTATCCGGGGCTATATCCCCAGAACCTCGGGTTAGGGTCCATTCTACATAACTCATTGTATACGGTGATTAGAAAACAGCGGATTGGTTCAAGGGGCGCCCCAAAGTGTGAGGGTATGACAGAGGACACACATCACGGCCCGCTGTGGCAGGAGATGGGACGAATGGATGCTGATCCGAGGTCTGGCGGCACAAACGCGGGCAAGGTTCAATGTAAGCTTATCATACTCAGTAGCTGACTCATTGACGCCTCCGTCGTGTCCACGCTCAAAAAAAGCAGACGATCTCGCTAACTCTGCGGAGGATGGATGAGGGATGATGAGGGATTCAACCCTGGGCCAGTAGACTCCCAATGCTGCTGCATGACATCCTGTCACAGACGGAGCAGACGTCCTGTCTACAGAAAAGAAGGCCATGGTGAGATCAGAGAGCAAGGCTCGTCAGCCCCCTAACACGGCCGTATGAGATGCGCAGTGCTGCCCTTGGCACACGCTCTCTCTCCTGTAAGAATGGAAATGGTCAAAGGACCCGTCGACACAGCATCTCCCCTGAACCGCCGGTCGCCGGCTGGGGCGGGCCATCTGGACATCGTCCTCCGAAATTGCGCCGTGATGAGACCTGCATTTCCGAATCTCGAATGCAGTATCTCTTTTCTCGCGGCGAGGCTATTCGGGTTCGAACCTAGGTCAGCATCAGCTCGGGTCGCGAACAGCAGCCTGCCCCGAGAAGGGAGCTAGAGACCGTCATGATGCGCCATGACATGAGTGAATATCCAAGCACGGCGACGGCATCACAAAGCATGCTCGAGCCCGTGACTTCACATCGCATGAGCCTCCACTCACCTCACATATATGGCCTGCATTCCCTGTCGCTCCATTCCCAAAACGCCTTTGCGATCCCATTCCCGCCTTCCTCCACACTCTGGCAGCTCGCCCTGACATCGGCCCTCACATCCAACACACGGCCCCAGGGCCCGATATAACATCCGTTCTTTTCGGTGCTCACCTCTTTCGCAAACCCGGAGAATAGTTCTGTGTATGCACCGAAGATGGCGGGATACAAAACCAGATTCTGGAACATCCTGCGCGTGGGTGACACGTAGCGCTGCAACTCGGTGCGAAGATTGCCCGGGTTGAAGCATGTGCTGACTACACTTGGGCCTTGGGTCCTGGACCGCTTGCCATATTCGGAGGCGTAGAACAGGTTGCCTGCCTTGCTGATGGCATACAGTCTCTGGGGGTCGGAAAGAGGGAGGGCCGGAGCGCCGTCCGAGTCCAAGGATATTCCGTGTTTGGGTGAGTAAAGGTCGATCACCACAGAACCAGCCCATGACACTCGGACTGTGTTTGGTGGCGAGCCTGCTGCTGTGGAACTGAGTATGGGGTGTAGGAGGTGTGTGAGGAGCCAATGACCGAGACAATTTGTGACAATGTGCAGTTCGTGGCCCTTGACACAAGAGGGGATGTCAGTTCGGCTGGAGTGGTTCAAAGAAGACGGCAAAAGGGACCGTCAGACAAGTGGGAAGGCTCAACGAACCTGAGCGCCTTGGGAGCCGGCCGGTGCCAACATGACTCCTGCATTGTTGCAGAGCCAGTCCAGCCTCGTCTCCTGCCGGAGGAATTCATCGGCACTGGCTTTGATTGTGGTCAGATCGGCGAGGTCCAGCTTCAGAAATCTGAGCGCTCCTTTCGGTTTCGTCTTTGAGCCGATCGACTCGACAATCGACGAGATCGCTTGCTTGCACCTCTCCTCTGACCGGCCAGCAAGGTAGACCGTCGCGTTGTGTTCATACAGAATTTTGCACACTTCGAACCCGACCCCGGCATTTCCTCCGGTCACAATACACACCTATCCAGACACTAGGTTAGACACGATCATTCTGCGCGGAGTGTGACAGTGGCCGACAAAGCGCGAATGATATAGATCGTACAAGATTTCTGCACGTACTTTTCCGGTTTGGTCTGGGAGGTTTTTCTCTGTGAGTGGAGGCTTGGGGATGAAGAAGGACTGGGCCAATGGCCCTTGGCGACTGAAGGTGTGCCCCATTTTTCTGCAAAGGCCGGAAGTCGTGGTATATGGCACTCGGGGTGAGAAGCAGTACGTCGACGGTCGGAGGAGCTGATGGAATCCGAACTGGCGCGATGGAAATCGCATCTGGGAGTGTGGGAGGAAGGAAGATCAGTTGATGGTGATGCTGGAAGTGCCAGATGTGTTTCATGGCGCGGCGACGAAGTCCTGGCGGTCCAATCAGAGGCCACTTCGGACTGGCCCACCGCTCCAAAGCCTCGTGCATTCGTGTTTGATATCAGTAACACCACTATTCGTGCTCAGTCCCTGCGGAGATTGAAATCCAGCATAACTCTGCCTCGGGATTCACCCGCTGCCAGTATCTCCCCACCTCATGAACGCCTCACAAGGGTCCGAGCTTGCGACAGGTTTGCTCCAAGCAGATGTTATGTCTGGACAACTATGCTGATTCCCAGGGATGTCCAGGCAGCAGTCATTCCCCGTAATTAGAGGCTTTGCATTCATCCGAGTGAGTTTAGGAGAGAATAAATCTTCATGGACGGCGGGTGAGCTTGTCAAGGCCGGCGCGAACCACTTCTTCGAGTCGGCAAACATGCGACATAAGTACACCAGATAGTGATCAGACGGGTTGTGAATAGTGGCTAGGACGTCTCGAAATTTGGCCGTGAGAGATTCGAGGTAGTATCTTAGATTGGCCATGGTATGAAGGAGGTTGGCATCCAGCAAGGGGGCATCTACACTCGTCGAAAATCTTCCGAGAACAAGCATGGCGTACAGCAATCTCAGGAGGTCAGGCGTAGTAAATGCGAGAATGTCGGCCGCCGAGAGAGACAAGAAATGGTCCAGGTATTCCCTCGTGGCTTCCAAGCAGCTGAGTAAGCTATTGTGTCGCGTGGTTGAAAGATACCATGATGGGCTCGATCTAGCGGTGGGTACACTGAATGGTGGGGGTGGATGGGCGTGAAATCCGATCTCTCTTGCGTAAATCCTGATCGCACGATAAGAAGAAGCCAGCTTAGCTGTCATAAAGTGTCAACACGGCAGCTCACCTGCTGTGGGAATTATACTCACCGTTATTCCAGACTTCCGGTGGGAGTGCAGAACGTGACTGTTCAAGCTGCTGTTCAAATCTGTTGCAGAGCGTCTCGATCTTTTCAGGGTCCCGCTCACCCTCTTGATCAGACCTGTCATATTTGAATGCTTGGTTGATGTCTTCTTGAAGCCGCTGTAGATGGACATAAATCGGAAGAAGCGCATCGGACGCTGCAGCCCCGATACCTGCAAGCAACTCGCCACAGCTATTGATGTGAGGACTGTGTGCCAGACTGCTGGGTTTCCTCATTGCTAAGCATATCCTAGCAAAGGTCATCAGCCGATAACCTCACATCCAAGGTGATCAAGTGAGAGCGTACGACGAGGACAGATAATAGCACCCGAGAAGAGCCCTCCGTCCTTCCACTTCTTCCAGGGCCAGGAGGTACTTGGTACGAAGTTCCGGGACAAGACTGGCTGGATTGACGAGTAATTCCTGCCGCACTGGGTTGTCCAAGCCGAGGTCAAGGGCTAAGGAATTGGCCATCTGCACGAGCTGATATAGTACCTGACGTGCTGGATCAAATTGGAAATGATACCTATCCGCCAGATTAGTTGGGTTTAAGTATACTTTGGCGATGAGGCTCACCAGTTCAAGTAGACTAGAAGTCCCTGCAGGAGATCCAAACTCTTCTCCCCCTCCACAATCAGTCTTCGACTCAACGACTCCTTGAGCTCGGCTTCCAGTTTCGCCTGAAGAGCTAGATTCCACTGCGCAGCAAAGGTCAGGATCGAGAGGAGAAGAAAGGGCCTCTTGCGACGAAAAAGGTCCAGTCCGACTGTCGGATCGATCACCACGAACGGGAAATTGCGAGCCTCGCCCTGGAACATCTGCAGCGAGGCCTCGGCTTGCTCGAAGCTGACGAAGCCTTTGGACACGGCATCTTGAAACCCGTCGAACACAATATTCGAGAACTGGAAGGGCGGCAGATTCACTGGCATCGTGTATGCGGTCTGTGTCAGCGGCGAATACGGAAGCTCATGAATATTTGCTGATGTCTGCGTGATCAACCTGGAATGCAATGGCTGGCCGGCGGCATCTTCGCTGGAGGACAGACGAGCCAAGATTCCCTCGATCCTCTGCTCCATCTCGGCGACCCGGCTGCATATCACTCAGTCACCTTATTGTCCGGCGATGCCTCCGAGTTCTTACCTTCTAGAGTCGTTGGCCATTTTCGGCCTGGCTTTTGCCTCGAGAAAGACACATATCTTCCCTTCGCGAGCGCATCTTCGGATGTCAGTAGTCTGCATCTGTGACCTCGAGCGGGAGCCGTACCTCAAACATCGAGCTGGATCTCCTTGGCTGGGCACGCAGCGCCCTTTGACTTCTCGGCACAACTCGCAGGCCTTCCGCAAGCGCGGCGTATGCTTTCCTCTTCTCTGGACGCTCGGCGCAGCTGAAGAGCTTGGGGACTCCATGGATATGTTCGAGGTCAAGTGATCAAAGAGGCGTAATTCTCATTCATAGATCCTCGACGCCGCATTGCTGTCGGGCCGGTTTAATGAGGAAGTATTCAGGGTGATGAGGTTCTCAGTCCGGCGGGTTGCATACACGTGTGCTATTGATACGGAGAAGGAATGCTGGAGTAACGTGTCGTTGATATGTGCCAATCTGATCGAATGCTCCGCCGTATCATGGACACCGCTTGTACCGAGGGTGTCTCGCGGAGAGAGGGCGCCTTCTAACTCTCAAAAAGTAAAGCTGAGCACAACTTCTACGCCCGCAGACTGTCTCATTGAAGCATTCTGCAGACGAGACAAGACCTGTGATTGCTTCAGGCGGTTTACCCCTTAGAGTGTGAATGAACTGGGCTGATGCGCTCCGTACCCGAAAGGGCCCCGGAACCTTGGGCGTTGTTTGAGAACTCCCATGAGAGCAGGGTTGACGAGGCTGACACGAGGCAAAATGCCTCCATTATTTGTGCCAAATCTGGCTCCAGACTTGCGCCTTGCTTTGATGAACCGATGCCATGGCCCTTGCGCCCACTTCCAAGTGCCGGCATTATGAATGTTCTCAAACAGAAGAAAATCTCAAACCCCGAGGCCACGTCCTTCGTGCCATACAACAAGCTACCAGTTGTCCAGCAGTTGTCTCACACCAACGATCGGTACGATGCAGTGGGAGGTCAGTCTCATTGAGCCGTCTAACAAGGCAACAAGGCTCAGGTGGAACACGCATTTGCTCGAGTATGCCTGTTTGCCAACACCAACATCAACGAGATAGAAAGGCTTGATCATCTCAAAGACGATCTAGAATTATGCCGCCCGATTTCCTGTCCTTTGGTGACTCAGGATCTCAACGACGTTTGCAAGTACGATGCATTGTCCTACACGTGGGGCAACCCACTGGGTAGAGTATCGAGCCCCAGGGAGAGCGTGCCGGAATGTGATGGCTGGTCGTCCCCAGCATTTGAGATAAGCTGCGGCGATCAACAGATCCAAGCTACCACCAATTTATACGGCGCTCTTTTGGTCCTTCGCTACTATCTCACCGTTGCGGTCGGATTGGACTCTCCCAAATTGTCGGATCAGCAATCTGGATTGATCCGAATTTGTTTATGCTAATCCTCCGACGCGCTTCTGGAAATCGGATTCCCCGGATTCATGTCTTCCAAACCGAGGTACTGGGCCAACGCCATGAGGGCGAATAAGCCGCTCAGAGCGGCCAGGCCGAAGCCAGAAATGGAGAAGACGTCGCCCCAACTGATGCTGGATGCTTGAGTTGCGCCAAGGGCGAGGCCGAAGGCGAGGAAGCAGAGTATGATGATGAGGATGCCCAGGAGGAACGCTCTATATTTCGCGGGTCAGCTTTTTGTTGTTGGATACACCGAATGGACACTTAGAGTAAGTAGGTACTTATCGAATTTCCATTTGGCTCCCCCTTTTTGGGGAAAAGGAGATGGATGCTCTGGTTGGACGGATGGGCGCATGGACGGGTCTCGTTCGACTAAATTGAAAGAGGGGGGAGAGCAAATAGCATGACATACTGCCCGTTCTGCCCTTCAACTACCTGCAGCAACAAATAATATTTGTAATGTTCCGTCTCGGCGTGGGCTTGTTGTGCCCATATGGTCAGCCGGTCGATTTGGCTCGTTATGATCCGGCTGTTGTCGGTCCTTCTTTTATAGTGGCGAATCAAGTATCTAAACTGGCCTGATGCTTCTTTGCCGCCAAAGAGATCGATACTTCGCTTGACTTGGCGCCGTAGGTCGGTGATTGGGGGTTGCTCCCTCTGGCCGGGGTATGGTGTCCTCTCGTAAATGACTCTCGATTCTTCCATCTATAAGAAGCGTTAAAATCTCAGGGACAGCGATACATATGCGCCAGGAAGAGGAGCAAGAGAAGAGAGTCCTCGAGTGTTGAAATACTGACTTGGATAAGGATCAAGGCAGCAATCTCCTTCATGAATGAATCCCACCAATATCTCCAGGTCCACCACTTTCCATTCCCACCTTGCCTCCGGTATCCCTCCACGAGGTGCGTCAAAAGGTCCTTATCAGTCCAGCGGCCAATGCCACCCAGTCTTCTAGGTGAAAGGCGCGTTGGTATCTCTTTAATTTCGCCGTATCGAACGTAAAATATGTAGATTAGATCTTCGGGTTCAAGTCTAGCATTGCTACATCGAAACTCAGGAATGAAATCTCTCGCTGAGCCCGAGGTAGGCAATCTCTACTTACTCATTTCGATACCTCCCTCCTCCCGAAGGCCCTCCCCCTCGTAAACCCGATCGTGGTTCTGGTTGGTCTGAGGGGCGATCGTCGCTGTCACTGTCCGTGCCATGACGCGAACGCCTTCTGGATTCGGATCTAGGATTGTGTTCTTGAACCACAATTTGATGTTCAGAATAGTCAACTTGAACCTGATGAGGTCGACGCTCGCCCTCATGGCCTTGAACTTCAACCTCTCGTTCCCTCTCAGCGCGTCGAAGTTCAGCTTCACGTACTTCACGTTTTCGAACAATAGCCAGTTCGCGGCGTTGAAGTTCAGCTTCACGTGCTTCATGTTTTCGAACAATATCCGCTTCGCGGCGTTGAAGCTCAGCTTCATTACGCCGTAACATATCTTCGTGTTCTTGACGTAGAGTCTCAAATTGACGCTCATATTTCACACGTTCAAGTTCAGCTTGGTATTTTCGAATTTCCTCTTGTTGTCGTCGATGCTCATGCTCCCATCCCTGCCGTTCAGCTTCGTGGCGGCGATATATACCATCTCCTTCCTCTCGACGAAGAGTCTCACGTAGACGCTCAGCTTGTACCTGTTCGGTTTTGATCCTCTCTCTGCGCAGTGCCTCTGGCCGTGGCGGTTCTTTGAAAATGACTTCTCCAGGCTTCGGGTCCCGGGGTCTGGTTGCTTCACTTTCAACAACCTCTCTCTCAATTGTCCGTAGTTCCGCGCGAGTATTCCCTCCCGCTCGCCCTCCAGTCACGAAATAGCTGCCCAGAAGCTCCGAGACTTCGGGCGGCGGCTTCCGCTCCACCTTTTTTTCCTGCTTCTTCTTGTCAAGACGCTCTGGGAGTTCTTCAGGAGAAGGCGCATACTTTCGTGAGTGGCGACGCCGGCGATCGGATGGTTTCGGAGGGTTAATCTTAAACATGCTGGCTTTGGAGGGAAGTCTGATACAATAAGGGGAGTATGCAGAGGAGAGCTGCGGACGTGGTAGCAGCGGGGGCGGGGGCGAAGTTTCTTTAGCGCCAGCGTTTAGCGCATCCGCCAGCGCTTGGCAACACCGAGTTTGAGAAGCTGAGACAAAGCAGCGAGATCTGTATTTTTCTCCTTGAATGATTTTCTCCAAAGAGCTACAACTTGAAAGAGGCGGCGAAGTATCTCGAGATAATTTGTGTTAGTTTTCGGCTTGGCATTGGTGATAGAAAGCGGCACGGTCGGGGTGAGGCCCAAAGTGAGTTTCGACTCTGCTTAACCCGTCCAGGGGGGGGGGGGGGGGGGGAAACGCGGCCCAATGGTGTAAACCCCGACCCCCAGTGCTTGCCGCTACGAAGACGGTACATGCTTCTGAGCTGTGGAAGAGACCTGATATCCCCTCCACCCGGCGGGGAGTCATAGGAAAGTCCATGCATATCAAGAGCGCAATTGCTCAAGGCTTATCAGAGAAAGGCTCAGAGTCAGTAAATAGACTATGGTTTTACCGCGAAGCAGCCCAGGGCCTTTGAGAAGCTCCTCGAAGAACATTCGGTGATGGCGACAGGTGCCCGACATGCATGCCTTGTGCTTGATACTGGTAAGTGCTGAGAGTGGAAGACATATATCGGGGGCTTTGTGACCATATGTTAGCGACGAAGGAGGCGCCCCGCTACGTGGGCAGCAGGTGAGCCGAGGCTGAGCGGAACCACGAGCTACGATAACGACCCCAATAACCACCGCCCGTTGGAGCCACCGAAGAAAAAAAATGTCCGGGGTGATAAAACAACATTGGATCCGAATGATCCTTCTCACCACTAACCTCTTCCTGCGCAGGTCGTTTCGCTTGTATTGAGACCATCCTCACGGCTCAACTGACACAATGGCATCCAAACACCCAGCTTCATCCTTGCAGCAATGCCTGCGCACATTCTCAGCTTCTCGAAGGGCAGCTAGCTCCTCATCCAGAACCATCCGCGGAAGCCCGCAGCAGAGACGTCTTCTCGCCTCGACACAACCCCAGTCCCAATCACTTTCCCCCAGGTCCCAGGCCTGTGGTCCCCTGATGCCCCGCCTCCGACAGCCAAAGCGACACTTCACCACCACCTTGGTCGCCCGCAAGGAAGAACCCTCCTCGTCCCCCTCCACCTCCACCTCCGCCCCGGCCGCGGAACCGCAATCGACGCTCTACACCTTCGCAGACATGCAGACCCTCGCGTCCCGTCCAGCCCCGAACCGGGTGATCGTCGACGTCCGCGAACCCTCCGAGTTGAAGGCCACGGGCAAGATCCCCGGCGCGCACAACCTGCCCATCAAGTCCGCGGCCGACGGCTTCTTCCTGGGCCCCGAGGAGTTCGAGGAGCGGTTCGGCTGGGAGAAACCGTCGCCGGAGGATGAGGTGATATTCTACTGCAAGGCCGGGGTGAGGAGTCGCGCGGCGGCGCGGTTGGCTGGGCAGGCCGCGTTCGGGGGTAAGATCGGCGAGTTTCCCGGGAGCTGGACTGAATGGGCTGAGAAAGGTGGAGAGGTGGAAAAGGTGTAACCAGGGTGACCGGGTCGGGACACTGGGGTGTTCCACGGCAGTGCATATGTATGCTGCCGGCTGCAGGGCCGAATGAAGACGAGGCACGAACTCGGTCGGTCTAGGCACCCTCAACGATGTACAGTCGATATGCTGAGAGCCTGCACAGACAGGCAAGCGGCCTTCATGAATGATGGAGCGATAACCACAATGTACAAGCAGCAATTGCTATCCTTCGTTGGCCACCTTCAGAGCCTCACGCTCCGAGTGACGAGTGAAGCAACATCTCCATGTCAACAGCCCCTTCGATCTCGCCCTGGACATCGGGTGACTGCCCAATCTCCAAGCCCTCCATGTCTCTCGCCAGTTTTCCCGGGGGACTCGTCTCAGGGATGAAATCCATGTCTTCCCCAGGGTCTCGGTCGCCGTGGTCCCCACTATTTTCACTCTGCTCCATTCCCGCGCCGAACGCCTCCTCCCGTCTCCTATCCACAAGCCACTGTTCCATTTTCTCCTCTGTACGATTCACAGCCAGCAACAAGGCCTTGACACTCAAACAAGCTCCCTCGGCCGCTTCCTGGTGGAACACCTTCACAACGGCACTCTCTGCCGCCTTATCCAGGTCGTCGACTTTGGGGTATCGCGGGTATCGAGACCCGGGGCGCAGAACGTCTAGACTTCGCTCGCTTTCTTCTTCCAGAGTGATGGCCCGTCGTGCCTTTAGAGAGCATTGGACATGCATGATCCGCGCACTGAGACGAGACTGTTCTTCCACATTGGCTTTCTCATTCTCTGCCAGTGTCTTAGGACGCTCGGGGACGTCATGGAGTGGGAACATTTCGAGAATATCTCTCTCGATGCCTTGATCTGTCGCTTGATCTGTTGGTGAGGTATGTTTACCTGTGACCCACGTCTTCTGGTACCAGTCCATGTACTGGTCCAGTTGCTGGTCAGTCATGTCGAGGATGTCACTATCTGTAACATGGACCTCAGATCCTGGTTTGAGGACGTTACGGTCTTCGCCAGCTGCGATTTGATTGTCAAAGTTCGCTTTGGTTTCCAGCCAGGATGGCCAATTCATACATAATGTTGCTGGATCGTTGGGATCTTGTGGATAGCGCTTTACGTTCTCTGAGTCGAATGGGAAGAGAAGCTTTGTGGCAACCACGACAAGAGACATGAGCTGGCTCTCTGGGTATGTTGTTGGTTGACGCCTCGTTGGATGCGGCGATTTTGCAGTACCAGAATAGCAGAAGTCGTACCTGGTGATGATATTGAGCCGACGAGCCATGCTGTAGACCTCGGGTGGCAGAGCAAGTTGGCGGATATAGTCGAGAAGCAAGAGATTCTGATTTATCTGTGGCATCACCATGCCAAACGATGCGTCATACCATCTTGCGCGGTGATAGATAGCCTTCTGAAGGTCATCAGAATCCAATAGCCGTAATGTATCCAAAGCTTGCTGATACTCTCCCGGCAATCTGTCTTTCATGTCTTGAGGGACATATCTGATGGCGCGGATGAACGGAATGTCTTCTTGTAGTATCCATCTATTCGAGGCGCGAGTCAATGAGAGTTCCTCAGTCCCACATGTAACTTACTTCAAGACTTTGGCCAGTCCCACGGGTCTCCTTAGCATGACAATGCCCAGATAGTTCAAGGCTATCGTATCAACAAGCATAGGATAGAGGTGTGTGTGTTTTTTGCCCTCGGGCTCACCCTTCACATCAGCATCCAGATCGGTATCCGTCTCGTTGCCTGAGCTTGCTGTCGTGTTTGCTTTGTCCATCGCATCTGCGAGACTGTCGCTGAGCCGATGCTCTAGCTTCGAGAGCCACAGTGCCCAGAGGTCCCGGACAACTGCCTGCATCGTCGTTAGAGAGAGATTAAGTGAACATGTCAGTCAGGAGAGTTGGATTTATTGTACGGCTTACCCACAACTCTGCCGGCAATCCTTTCTGATGGACTAGCGCATAGCATTGCTTCCACAGGATGAGCTGCCATGATTGAAGAAAGAGTTGGTAAGCTTTGGACCCACGAAGCACTGCAGAAGTTGGATGATTAATTGGCTGGTCTAGGACTGGACGTCTTGACGGATAACCGTGAATCAGATGAGGTTGGCATACCTTTGGAAATCTTTTGCTTCGTTTTGATTTCCTTCTTTCTCACCACGGTGCCCTGCCTCCCAAAGTCGGCGTCGTCCTCGGCAGTCGCCAGGCCCAGATCCTGGTCATGACCGTTTGCACAAAAGATCCTGCCATCTTCATCGTAAAACTCGGTTGAGCCACATGTCCCGCACTCTTCTCCGTCCATGGCGGCCGAGTGTAAATGCCCACGATCTCGTTAACATGACGGCTTATGACTGGTCAAGGCTGATACCCAGAGCGACAGGAGCAGGAAGAGGTGGTCGTTGTGTTCTGTGAGTGCCACATACGAGGTACAGTTCGTTTGCCTTACTCCGCACTGTGCGCAGTGGTAACATAACTTTCCGCTGCTCGCGGTGCGGTGGATCATAAGATGCCTCGGTGCAGAATTAAAGCCTTGGCAATGATTCTAGCCGACACTATTATTTACATAGCATGTACCTAGCTACTAGCGTGGCAAGGTACTAACAAGTAAGTACCTACTAGGTACCTCCTAGTATCTGACAATTGCGGGCCGTATTGGACGGGAGTGACACTAAAGTTTAAGCATATTTGGTCGCTTGCTTTAAAGGGTCTATATCGACCGCTGGGCACGAGTCCGAGGGCATGGTTGTTGAAATCCATCACATTTGCAATGCTGTTTGGCGGGGCAGAATGTTGCTTCGAGGGGGCCATGCAAGAGAAAGCCCCCCCTTCTCCCCCCCTCTGAACCCGGCCACTATGAGCCAATTGCAGCCTTCTCTGCTAGCGCAGCTGTAACGCCCCTCTGGGAGCCCTCACGCTCGACCTGGGAGTGGGAGTCATGCGAACCCGAAAAGGCGACGGTAGTGCTAGGCAACCCTTTGAATTTCAGGTTTCTGTCACGGTTGATAAGGCTGGCGCTTCCCAGGACACGACTCTTTCCATTTCTTCGTCCACAATCCCCCAATTCCTCGTCATCGATTTCGCGGTACCACCACCAGGTTGTTTCTATCTCAGCCGCCCAAAGCATGCCTTCCAATTCACCAGAGCCAGGCTGGGGCCTCCCTCCTCGCCGGAGGACCGGCATATCCATGAAACCAATATCGCGGATCCAGTCTTGGGTGACTGGCTCTACGCCCGTGGCAACACCGCCGGCCGACGACCCATTGACGCCTGATAGTTACAAGGTGTACCGGTTGGAATGGTCCGACCTCAAGAAGTGGCTGGAACAAAAATTTCCTGGCCACGTCCTGCCGGATCGCGTCAAGGTCAGTGCCCCGCCCGAATGCGCCCCTCGTGGCCAGCCACAAGGCGCAATGAGTGACGGACTCGGCTTCCCCGTACTGACTCAGGCCAGATCAACCACGACTCTTGGGTCTTTGATATACCACGCAAATTGGACCGTGTGAGTCTGTGCCTGCTGGATAGGGTGCCCACTGCTCATCGTCTGCCGCAGGACGACCGTAATGCAATAGCAGCCATGCGGGATGAAATCCACGCTCGTAAGGAACAGGCAGATGCTCGCGCGATTACTGCCTCCGCCACTGGACGAGGCGACCAACCTCCCAACAACGCACAAGCTGCCAACAACAACCGTCGACGAAGTGCACGATCGCCAGAACGCCAAAGACGCTATTGATTTTGCCCCCAGGGCTTGGAGTACGAGCACTGCTTGCGGGGGGTATTGAGGGGGACACTGGGGGCTTGGTTCTCGTGATTTGCCCTCGTAGGATGGCCCGTACCACTCACAGCCACAACTGGCGATTTTCGGTGATTCCTACCTACCTATCAGCCTCGCTTCCTCGCTTCCAAGGCGCTTTGGCGGCGATGTGGACGGTGATTTGGGCATTCACAGCCACAATCTTTCGAGTACTTCTCCCTCAACCAGCTGCACAGTTTCTCCACCCGGATATAGGGACGACCACAGCCCTCACAATGGTTGCAATGAGGCTTAACTGTGAGCTGTTCCAATTTCTCACGAAAAGCCTTTTGCACGTCGGCGGGATTACACCTGCGGCCATGTGCCGGCTTCTGGTGGTGGGTGACTCTCGAGCTCGGGGTCATATCGTAGAGGGGCACATGTCACGCAGCGGGCGACAGTGGTGCGTAAGGCTGCGTACAGGGTGACCTGAATAGAGTCGCGGGCGCTCTGCGAACATGAGCGCCAGAGTAGTTGCCGGTAATGCTGAGAGCGATGGTCTTCAGCAACAGTGGAAGCGACAAGGAAGAGATTGAAATTGGCGCAAAAAGGTGGGAGGGAGGGCTTACCAGCTACAAACCTCATGTTCGCAGAAAGACCTTCAGAAGTGGACATTGCCGGCCCTCTATGATAATAAACAGGAAGCGACCTGCTTCTGGGCCTGGCACGAACAAGCATCAGCAAGAGCCTTGGTTCGTGGCCCTTGCGAGCCCCAGCTCCTGTCACACAGGTAGGCAGCGTGGCAGGGTGCTTGCATGGGACTTTACCCTTTGAGGCCATGCATATGTGCTTCGTGCGGCTGAATGGGCGTCGCTGGGCCACGCCTCTTTGGCATCCCTAAGAAGCATCCTTGCAAACTTTGCCGATACATGCGATGGACCGTTACTGTAGGCTCTCAACTCCAGCAACCGAGGGAGGCATGCCTTCCCCTGAGATCGTCGAATATATATGCTAAGGAAACTGATGAGCCCAGGGCATTCTTGGTAGGTAGATTTGCATCGGAAAAAAACGAAGGGGAGATAGACGCCGTTGGATCGGACAATACCGTCGAGTCTCAAGGTGTCAAGGGACATGGGGCTTAAGCCGCCTTCCTTTCCTTTCCTCCAAGTTCATGAGTTAGTACCGGTTCGCCACATGGATGACGAAAAATTATAAAGAATCATGTAGCTGAAGGAGTGTTGTTTTCGGTTTATAGCACTCGGGAAAGTGACGGGTACGTGCAAATAGACGCTGAGGAGACACAGTCGCCAAGGCCATGGCCGGCTTGTTCAACTAACTACCTGGACTGGACCTTTCTACGGCAGAGCTATAAGAACCGGGATCCTTACGCCGCGAGATGTACGGAACGTAATGGCGGATTTGCCATGACCGCTTTAACCACAGGAGGATCTTCCAGCCAGCCCGTAACGTGACAAATGGAGGGTCTCAAGCGAGAACTTGAGAACTGCAGGCAAGATGAGAGCCGCGGCGGAACCAATCAGCGATCAGGTATTTCTGTTTGAAGCGAGAAGGATAGATCCCTGCATTGACTAGCAGCATAAGCAGGCTGATGGTGGTTTGAGTAATTGCTCTGTTATTTGTCTAGCTACCACTTTTCAAAATGCAGAAGGATGCTGGTCCGTCGTTGGAGTGAAAAACAGTCACTTTTTCAGGGCAAGCCACAGATCTATGGCCCAGCTGCCTCCAGACAAGTTCGTATCTTTCCGCCTACTCTGATTTTCGGCATGTGCAAACTTGCCCAACACCAAGAACGCTGAAGTATGACCTGGGTTTCCTGATCCATAAATCCATCAGTCGTGAAGAGGGGGTCGCAGATCTGCTGGTTGACTCGAACGCCCGTTTATTTGGGAGCTTCTTTGGCATCAACAGCAGCCTCCTCGCCCATCGCGGTCAAGACAATAACGTCTATCGCAGCATTAGTAATCCGATGTTGTGCTTTCACGGCTGGGTACTCACTGGTGTCCTTCTCGTCGGTGCGGAAGAGTTTCTCAATCTTTTCGCCAACTTCGCCCTCGGGCATCTTGACATCATCCTTGGTGGAACCATCATCAGACATGAGGGACAAGAAGCCGTCATCAGTAATGTCGAGCTGCAACCGCCATTAGCATTCTCGGCGTGCCGTATGCCGCGTAGAACCCTTCTCTTACCAATTGGTATTCACGACGAGTGACGTTAGGAACGTCCATATTGTGGGTGGATGGGGAGAGATCTTCCATCTTTCGGCCGGTGAAGATGTCGAGGGCAACCAAGTGGACCTTGGCGTGACCGTGTTTGCCAGTCTTGGAGGTGGACATTTCGACAATCTTGCATGGGCGGCCCTTGATGACAACGAAGCCGTTCTTTCTCAAGGCGGAACATTGCATCGGGTAGGTGGCCGAAGCTCCGGCATCGGCGGACTCAAAGGTGTGTTCATGCTGGAAGCAGTGGATGTCAGTGTCTGGTGCGACGAGGAAGTCACTGGAGACCTCGAACGGGCCTTGTAAATGCGGCAACTGGTTTGCGCAAGTACAAAAGGCGGGGGAGGGTTTTCCCTTGGAGAGGCTTACCTGCGCGTCGTTGTCCGCCATGGTGAAAAGCTGAGAAGATGTCGCTTACAAAAAGAGAGCAAGATATGCAGTGATGGAAAGGATGATATCAAACCGTGAGCGACAAATTCTCGAAAGAGAGGGATGGATGGGAGAAAGGAACCCAGGCCCGGCCAAAGGAAAATATCGTTTTGCAGGAAGTGGGATCGTGGACAATGCAGAGGGGCAACTTGCCGCCCAATCGATAGCTTGGCGCTAACCTGCTTGGGAGCGCCGGTCTTGGCGCGTCTGTGGGTGAAAACTCATAACAACGCCACCCACCAGCGTCGAATGTTGACGTCAAAGTCTTTTTCGTGTCAGAAGGTTCGCCTGTCGTCACTGTTCCGCTGACAGCGATGGGAAGATGCTCAGATATGTCCTCGAGGGGCTGGTATCCCATACTATTGTGCTCCACGGGTGCTGCCTTTGCCGTGGTGGAAAAGTGAGAGGACAAAGGCATTGAGGTTTGCAAGTGAGAAGCCTAATTGTCCTTTCACATGGGCACTTGGGTTGGCACAGGAGCTTTCCTTCTCCACGAAACAACTATCCTCTCCCACGGACCTATGATTTATCAGGCATGGAACGGGTGTGCAAGTTCGACTGGCCAGTCCCAACAAGCCTCAACAGGGTCAATGTAGCGAATTCAGCCGAGCGAGGTGGGAAACGAGGTGAGTTGCGACGAAAAGACAAAGAGAAAAGACATCTACCCATCGCGTGGACTAATCTGGTTCTTGATACTTCATCTCAGAGCCGCCAAACCATCTCGAACACCTCACCCACTGTTCTCCGTCGGCTTGACAACCACCTGGATGCCTTTGGAATCAAGCCTGGGAAATGGAAGAAAGAAGTCGTGAGCCAACTCCACATCACTCTTGTCGGTCTCGTACAGCTCAAGCTGGAAGTACCGGAACATAGCTGCCAGGGTCAAGTAAAGTTCGGCATAGGCGAGGCTAAGGTTTGACACAAACCGCCATCAGAACAGAGCACACCAGATAGGGGATACAAGCTCAAACTCACTTGATTCCCAGACAAGACCTCGTGCCTTTGCCAAACCCCACAAAATACCTGTCTAAACTGGATCCATTCTTGGCCTTGGGTGAATCGAGCCACCGCTCAGGGACAAAGGAGGTGGAGTTGGGGAAGATTTCCTCGTCATGATTGAGAAACGGGATTGTCATTGAAATTGGCGTCCTGGCCGGGATGGTCCATTTGCCGTACTGAACTGGCTTGGGAAATAGACGGGCATTGCGCGCCGTTGTGGAGTAGGACAGCCTGATGGCTTCCTTTATGCAACCTGACAGATACGGGAGCTTCTCTAGTTCTGTCCATTCGAGCGGAGCACTTGGGTCCAGCTCGTTGATGTCTGGGATGGCTTCCTCGAGCTCAGCGCGCAGGCGTTCAAGGACCTTCGGATCGCTCAGAATGTAGAAGGTGGCTACGCTGAGTGTCCAGCCAGTGGTGGCGAGCCCAGCGCCTATGATCAACTGCGCTTCATCCTGCAGGCGGCGGTCGGACTTCTCACTGGGAGGCAGATCGCCACGAAGCAGCTCAGAAAACACCGTCGGGTGCTGAGATTTTTCAGCAAGCGCGTCAATCTTGCCGGCTTTCAAGTCGATGATCTGTTTGGCAAAGTCCTGCGAGCGTCAGAAAGGACCAAACGGGAGCGGGAGCACTCTGGAGCCTCACTCCTTGCATCTTGAAAACAAGGGCATATAATGGTTCCAGCTTGACAAGCCACGACTGTGGCAAGCAGTTCAAGATCTTGGGCACCAGGGGGAACTGCAGCGACATGTTCCCACTGATGCTGACGGCCCTGAACGGATCATGAAGGATAGGCGTCCACTCAGGAACATTGAGACTGTTGTAGTCGTGAGCGAAGCAGTATTCCATGATGACATCTTCAGCCAAGGCCATATAGCCGCGACTGATGACCACCGGGGCGCCAGATTGCTGGGATTCTCGTGCTTTTGCGATCAACTGGTTGAGCTTCTTGCGAATGATGACCTGCAGGTCAATGATTCTCTTGCGCGAGAAGAACGGGTTCAACGCATTCCGTCGTATGCGATGCAGCTCATCCGGCGCCGTGCTCAGGACCGAGTTCTCGTTCCCGAAGCGACCAGACATCCAGTCGTATTTGTCGACTCTCCCAGCCTTGGTAAAGATGGTTTCCCAGAAGTCCGAATCCAGAATATGAACCTCGTCTGGAGTGATGCGCACGATTGGCCCTGTGGTATCAGCGAGCACAAGTCAATCCCAAGCTCCATTTGCAACAATCACAGACGCCAGCACATTGACGCACCATACTTTTCGTGCAGGGCTTTAATATGGAAGATGAATTTCCCTTGCAAGTGGACATCGTAGTAGTACTCATGCCATTTGCTGATCGCCGCGTACTTGGGCCCTGGGAATCGAGCCAGCGGGTGGAAGTACAGTCGGTATACGACCAGGGCGACGACGTATAAGAGCCATGCCAGGCCCGAGACGAGCAGGCTCAAGTACAGATACGACATTGAGCGTCGACGGTTGGACAGAGTTTAAGCAAGGAAGAACTTGGACGAGGATGACCAGGAACAGCAACCGGCAGGACGTGTTGGGGGCGGTCAACAGCAAAAGAAAAGAAGTCCAGTAGCTTGGAGGTTTAATACGTATCCAACGTCGAAGACTGATTGACGGACTGACAGCACAGCGGCCAGATAAACCCTTCCGGGCCACTCACATGTCTAGACTGGCGCACACAAGCCCTGGTGGTGTGCTGCAGGCCCAGCAATCAACAGGCGATGGAGGGGCTGATGGCTCGAGATCCATGGGATTCTTCTCCTCCATTCGTGAAGCTGGGCCGTGTGTCTAGTCTCTTTGCCGCTTAGATGGTCGTTGTAGGCATCGCGATTCCGTCCTTCCGCCTCGCCCCGGCTGCTGGCTGCGCAAGCCGAACCCAATGACCACGGGCTTCAGGGGTGGTGCTGCATGTGCTAGGTGCATATACGGGCCATGGCCTGGGACTGCCCAAGTACTTACTTGTCGTAGTTTCAAACAAGTGTCCGTGCGTGCCGACCCTCTCGGAGGGGCTCTAGCGGTCAGGCGATGCTCTGCGACAGAAGAGCATGCAGCACGTTGAGGGCGAGTTGGTTGTGCGCAGGAATTGACGCAAGTTTTATCTCCGGCCAGCGTCTCCCGCACTGGGCCCTTTTCCTCTTTTTCCTTACTCACGGTCTGTGTTTTTTCCACGGTGTCTTCCCGGCAACATGGCTTCTGAGGAGAATATAGGATACATCGAGCCCGAGCGATTCAGTGACGTCGACTCTGGACTGGGCGACCTGATCTCCGAGTCCGACACCGAGTCGCTTCGGTCCAGCCTGCTGCAGAGCGTGTACGAAAATGGGCGAGGCTACCACAAATACAAGGACGGGCTGTACTTCATGCCCGATGACGAGCGGGAACAGGAGCGGCTTGACATGCAGCATGAAATCTTCCTCCACACCATGAACAACAAACTGCTCGCCGCCCCCGTCGAGCCCGGCGCCGCCCTGGACGTGCTCGACATCGGCACGGGCACGGGCATCTGGGCGATCCATTTCGCCGACGAAAACCCCCAGTCCACGGTCCTGGGAACCGACCTCAGTCCCATCCAGCCCTCCTTCATCCCGCCCAACTGCAAGTTCGAGGTCGACGACTTCGACCAGACCTGGTGTTTCTCGCAAAAGTTCGACCTCATCCACGGGCGGATGCTGGCGGGCTCGCTCGGGGACCCCCTCAAGCTGCTCCAGCAGGCATATTTGGCCCTCAAGCCCGGCGGCTGGGTCGAGCTCCAGGACTTTGCGTTTCCCGTGCGGTCGGACGACGGGACCATGGCCGGGACCCCGTTCGAGCGACTCAACGACGCCCTGGTCAAGGGCCTCCACATGCTGAACAGGGACGGGGCCTGGGCGGCCCAGTACAAGCAGTTTATGGAACAGGCGGGCTTCGCGAACGTGGTGGAGATACGATACAAGTGGCCACAGAACAAATGGCCCCGCGACCCGCATCTCAAGAAAATCGGCTACTGGAACATGGTCAACACCCTCGACGGGCTCCATGCCTTCTCCGCGCGGCTGTGCACCAAAGTGCTCGGCATGGGCGTGGAAGAGTTCGAGCTTCTGCTGGCGGAGTCGCGCAACGACATTCGGAACCACAACATCCATGCCTATTGGCCCATGTGGGTGACCAACCTTGCTCGAAAGCCAGGACTTGACTGACCTTTACGCTTCTAGTTATGTTGTCTATGGCCAAAAACTTTGATAGCCGCCCAAGAGCCAGGACGGGTGTTTGAACAATACGATCGTGTCCGTTTCATTGTATGCGAGACACAGATCGGGTTGCGTCAGAGAGCCTTGATGCCACGGGTACGTGAAGAGGTCAAGAAGGACGGAGAAGACGCTGAGGGACAACGAGGGACAACCTATCGAAGCCATATTCCCATTTCTCTGCGAAATAGGAGGAGGATAAGCCCTTCGACTCGCTATAGATGAGTTTTGGCGGGCTGACCTGGCATTTCCCCGAATCCCGATGGAAACTGTACACGGCAGCGCCCTTGAATCGAGGCGTGGAGATCTGGTTTAAAGAAGCCATGCCCCCCGGAACGTGTCTGATCGCGGCACTGGTTCCTTTCCGTGGTGATATCCTCTACTTTCAACGATCTGGCTTGGTTCAACGATGTCTCAGAGAAACAGGTATGGGTGAACGCCCAAGCCAGAGTCACACGATTCCGATCCAAGCTGACAGTCTCCAGGAATCGTTTGCCGTCGATCCGCTCCTGGATTGATCTCGTCACTGCTCATGCGAATCGCAAACAACGGGAACCACTTGCGATGACGGTGTCAAGGTCCTGCAACATTAGTCGTGGGAAAAGTACCAATGTTGTTTTGAAGAAGACACCAGGACAGGCCACGAGGTACTGGGCACAAGTTGACCCTGGGGGTCATATACATAACACGACCGGCGCTTCTTATACGTAGACCCAGCACCTACCCTGCACGGCGACCTTTTTAATTTCGCCTTGTGCGTCGTCGACCCTGTCGCTGAGGCTACATGACGCTTACAGTCGGGAGGCAGGTCTGTCATAGCCTCCGACGGAGCTTTCCTTCTCCTTCCAGCCGGCAACTACGTCCTCCACGACGGGCAGCTCGTCTTGACCCCAGACGACACCGCCCTCGACCCCACCGAGCACCCACCCTCCACTCGTCTTCTCGAACACTCGATACGACGGAACGCCACAGATCCCGGCATCGACGGCTTCCTGGGTGTTGTTTCGCAAGGTGTCCTTGACTTGAGGCGAGGAAGCCTTCTTCAGCAGGGCCGCGGCATCGCAGCCCGCCGTTGCGAGGTACCCGGCCAAGACCTTGTCGTCGGAAACGTTGATGTCGCGCTCCCAGCACGCGCGGACTATTTGAGCGCTCGGTGGTCAGAACGGTGACACAAAGGGGGGGCCAAGGCTGGTCACGGGAAGGACAAACTCACAGAGCAGAGGGACGAGATTCGGATCCACGATCGCGCAGCGCAGGGCCGTGGGCGTGCGGATCGGGAACTGGCTGGGCCAGTGGAACTGGATGGGTTGATCGTGAGACCCGCGTTGCTGGTTGACGCCGTTCCAATGGCGGATCCAGTCGCCCAGGTCTTTGCGCATGTAATCTCTTTTGGCCTGCGAAATGGCCGCCATGGGGACGTTCGGCGCGCCAACACTGATTTTTTGTGGCCGGTCAACAAAAACGTTCCGAGAACCAGTCTTTTTGGGGGGGGCTGGGATCATATAGACTCACGCTTTGAACAAGGCGCCCAGCAAAAAGGGCTTCATGACAATCTCCACGTCCGGGCCGAACTGTCTTTTGAGTCTGTCCAGCTGCGTCCACCCGAGAAACGCCCAGGGGCTGCTGAAGTCGTACCAGAATTCGACTCTTTTCTGGCCGACCGGGGGCCCCTGTACACACCGGGGCTGCAAACTTGGCAGATCGGGCACCTGGGCGTAGTCGCAGCCGCGTCTTACTGCGTGGAGCGCAGCCTCGACAAAGTGCATGCGATCCTGTCCCCAGTAGAGGCGGCCGTGGCGCAGCGTGCCATTGCCAGCAGCACCATTACCACCACCATCGACCCACGTCTCCTCCGCGACCCAGAAAGCAGGCACCCCGGGCGCACCGCGCGCGACGACCTCGGCGGTCGCCGCGCGGAGGGCGTCCTGGGCGTCCCTGTCGTCGAAGACCGACTCAGTCAGGCGCGACGCGCTGGCGATGCCGCTGCGGCGGGCGATGTCTAAGAGGACGGCCTTGTCGGTGATGTCGCGGTCGTCGACCCAGTAGGCCCGGAACAGGGCGTGGGTGAGGGCCGGACGCTGTGCCGCGGGGACGTGGTGCAGCAGGCGTAGGGCCAGCACGGGGCTGCGCGGGTGCACGGACGGCCAGGCGATCTCGACGCCCAGGCGCTGCAGGGTGCGCCGCATCGCGCGCGACGTCAGCCGCTTCTTGGTCGGGTTGAAGACGTCCGACGCCGAGCCCGCGGCGCCCTGCGGCGCGGCCGTCTCGCGGTAGATGGCGCCCAGCAGCACCGGCATCCAGATCAGCTCGGCGTCGGTGCGGCGGGCGAGGGCTTCGACGCTACCCCCGGAAATCACTCGCGTTAGAACATGGTATTCTTCCGGTGGTCCGTCCGTCAGGAAGGGAGGGAGTATGTTTGTGTGGTGTAATACGTGTGTTTACCTACCGAAGCGAGCCCATGTATGCGAACGGGCATGTTACCTGGTCACATTTGGGATCAGTATAAGAACCCGTGACGAGTGAAGCGGTACCAGTAAGAGGAGGCAGTTCAATCAAACAGAGACCCCGAGGCCCTTAATTGACTCGAGTAGCCAGCACCGGTCTCTCACATACATCGTAGTAGAATTGCAGCGTGGGCCTGTCCTTGCGCGCCATTTCTCAGTCGGTGGGTGGTTTGAAGCTCTCAGCCAACGGTCTTTGAGCGAAGATGAAGTAGATTAGAGATCCAGTCTCGAAGCCCGTAGAGGGGCGATATCAAGGTCGCATGGAAGGGAATGGGAACTGGAATCAGAACGGGGGGAGACACTCTACGCCTTGTGGGAGGAGAGGGAAGATGTAGACAGTGGTGGTTACGAAGGATGATGGACGTGGACCGGACCTCGGCTTGCCGGTGAAATACCGAGTCGATGCATGAAGAGGAAGAATGAGCGGGGTCCCCACACAGCCTCGCACAGCCTCGCACAATGATACTCTACAGCCTTGTCTGAGGCAAGCTGGAGCCTTGCGCTGCAGAAACACTATACTGTGTAAAGGTCAGGGAATGACCAGGAATATCTCCTCTGTCGCCGCGGCTGCTAGGCATCGAGAAATCCCTTTTATGAATGTTCAGGCGAAGTAAAACCCTCGCCGGGGTTCATCTGACTAAAGACTATTCGTCACTTCTACTCAGAGCCGCCGGTGCCTTAGACAGGACTACATAGTGGGAGTACGCAAACATTTACAGTCCCACCTCTAGCAAATCCCACCATGCGAGGTGTCCGTCAACTACCAGGCAGCTCCTTGACCTCTACCGCAACCCGTGGGGCGTTCTTTGCGATCTCGGTCTTGACCCCGGCCTTGCGCCACCCCCCGAGCGTCGCTGGCAACACCTTGAGCGCCGGTTCCAGGAAGCCGTCGTGGGCCAAGCACACCAGGACGTCCTCCCTCTGGCTTATCTCGTGCAGCTTGCCGATGGTCGCCTTGGCCGTATCGAGGTCCTTGTGCATCGAATACGCGCCGTTCGGCCCGTGGCCTTCGCCCAGCTTGCCTTCCCCCGTGAAAATCTTCCGGTGGTGGCAACAGTCGCCGCCCATGACCACGTACTCGTCCGACCCCGTGCGCGCCAGCCCCATCAGGTGGCCGGGCATGTGTCCCGGAGCGTCGAGGAGGAGGAAGCTCCCGTCCCCGAAGAAGTCGAACGCCTTGGGAAAAGGCCCGAACGGGATCCAGCTGTCGTCTTCGTACGACAGTTCCCGGACACTGGGGTGCTCTAGAATGGAGCCGAGGAAAGGCGAGTCTGGGTTGGTCGGGTACCCTGGGTAGGCGGCAGCTTTTGAGCCTGGACCGACGACGACCTGGCTGCGCGGGAATTCTCCAGGGTTTCCGACGTGGTCAAAGTGAAGATGACTGTAGACCACATAGTCGATCGAGTTGGCGGAGATGCCTGCCTCCTCGAGCAATTCAGCCGCACTCTTAGGCACTCGAGGCTCTGTGAGAACAAATTCTTCCCGAATGCATCGAGGGTATGCTTCTAGATCCTGAGCAAAAGCGTTTAGCACCTTGCATAAGCCTTCCAAGCTGGAAATCAGAGATCCATACCTTGCGAATCCCTAGATCAAACATGAGACTTCTGCCGCTGGCCTGGTGGTGGACGTAGAAGCTGTAGTCCGGGTACAGCGTCTTCGTCGCATGGTCTGCCCCGGCGAGGATCCATTTGTCTGGCAAGAACAGTTGCCCCGTAGGCACCAAAGACACCTGCACGATCCGCTCTGTGTGAGTCCCGTTCTCCATGGTCATTAATTGTGCTTTGCTGTGTGTGAACGATTTCACATACCGATTCACCAAGTAGAAAACCCTTTATCGTTGGATCTTCGTCTTGTCCTAATGCTCTCCACTACGGATGTGCACCGCGTTCAATTGTTTGTCCAGCTTTCTTGACCCAACTCGGGCGCGCCCCTTCAGCACCGCGACACGCAGCAAGACCGGGAGATGGCGAACTGCCGGCGAAGGATGGGTTCGGGATCTGATCCCGAAGCTTCACTGAGACTTTCCATTAGAGATGAAGCCGCGGCTTGGACGGCACAGCCACTAGGCTCTGCAATTGGACGGTGCCTCGCTTGGTCGGCCTTCCTCTTAGATGAGATGGCCTAGAGCTAGGGGTGAGGGTCACTTACTGTCGCTTCATGTAAGTATGCTCCGCAATCTCCGCAATTTAATGCAATTTGAAGTGCTGCCAGCACGTGGAGAAGTCGGGGGTGGAAATGTGTGGGAAGGAGTAGGAAGCTGAAGATATCGCGGGGGATCTTGAGCTTGGCCTGCAGGTTGCTGCATCCTCGTGATGCTGGACGCAATCCACACAATCTGCACGTATGACACCCTCAGTTCAAGGTATTGCATCTCTTGAATCCATCAAGTCTATTTTTCTGATACACACCCTGTTCGCTGCTGTACCAGAGACCTCTACTCTCGCAGGTTACAACTCATGTGGTGATGGACCAGCTCCAAGACCTCGATTCCAGTCATGAAGCCAACTCTCCCCCTTCGAAGCGACGACGAGTCGGCATGGCTTGTATACCTTGTCGCACACGCAAGGTCCGCTGCGATGGGACTCGCCCAAAATGCTCTGCTTGTTTGCGCAACTGCACCTCATGCGCTTATCAGCCCGCAAGCCAGATGGTCAATGTCTCTCGAGAGTAAGAAGCACTCTAGGGTTGTCTCTCGAGCCAGTCTAATGAAATCCCAGGTACATCATGAAGCTCAAACAAAGGGCAGAAGCGGCGGAGCAACGACAAGCGGCGGCGAACCCTACCGATCCCAGTCAAGCTTCGCCCCAGAGGAGACAAGACCTTCAGCGGCGTGAGCCTTCGAGGCATTCTCTCGATGCGGCCACATCAAGTCTGTCAGAGTTGGCCTCATATTCGCGTAGCAGCAACACAAGCCGAAGTCGAGACGTTGAGCGTGCCCAAGACCGACATGCTGTGGACTCGGTCAACGATCCGGGCACCATCATTCAGCCTGATAAATCCTCCACCCAAAGTCGTCTGCCGCTACATCAAGACCTCAGCAGGGACAGGGTCTCATTAAAAGACGTTTCCTCCAAGGCCCTTTCTGGGGGAAGAGCTGAGAGGACTCAGTCTTGGTCACTGCCGCCCTCTCACGATACCAGCGCAAACTTCGAAGAGCCGAATCCCGATGATTTCTACGGAGACTCGTCCACCCTTTCCTTCATGCAGGCTGTCCAAACAACGATAATTTCAAATTCGTCTCCGGATTCAGTATCGCCAGACTCGAATTACAGAAGTGGAACCAAGCCACGGCCAGCCCGGGCAGTCTCATTCCGGCTCGGGGTGGAGAATTGCTTGCCTCAGAGATCTCTTGCTGACGACTTGGTCAACTCCTACTTTCGCTACGTTCACATCCTGTACCCGTTTTTGCACCGACCTTCTTTTGAGGCTCAGTACGAACGCACCTGGGTCTCAGGGGAGCAACAAGACGATCAATGGCTGGCCATGTTGAACGTCATATTCGCCCTTGGGATCCATTTCGCGTACGGACAGGAGGACAAATCGGCGGCGAGTGATAGGTTCTTCGGGTATGCACAGAAGCTTGTCTCGATGGAGCAATTTGCTCACGCAAATCTGCAAACGTTACAACTTCTTCTGCTCAGCGGACTCTACTACCAATCCACCAGTCGCCCGAATCAGACATGGAACGTGATAGGCTTAGCAATAAGGATCGCCACAACTATTGGCGCTCACGTGGACCCAATGCCGTCTCAGTACAACCCCTTGCAGATTGAAATACGAAGAAGATGTTGGTATGGGTGCATTGTGCTAGATTCGTGGGTATATCTGGTTACTATGGTGGAATCTGCTAACCAGGTCAAGGGTTTTGGCCCTGAATTTCGGACGTCCCACTGCCATTCCAAGTACCTTTGGTGTCTCACTGCCTTCCAACCTTGACGACGAGTACATTACCGAAGAAGGATGCCTCGAACAGCCAGAGCACGTTCGGCCAAAGACAACGGTCTTCATCAAATCAGTGGCTTTCTGTTCCATCATGAAGGACGTACTGTACACTCTATACTCGCCCCTCAACGGCTCTGGTCACCAACAGAGTGGCAAAGTTTCTCCGCCTCCCGAATTCAAGGACGCCGTCAGCCTGGACAAGAGCTTGGTTGAATGGTTCCGAGGGCTTCCCGAGTACTTGAAGGTAGGGGCCTTGGACGAGATGGAAGAATTTCGAAGGACCAGAAATATCCTCCTTGCAAGGTGAGTTAGGGCTATTTGCAAGCCATTTGTATCACTAACTCTTGCAGATTTCTCAATCTCAGAGTATTGATTCACAGACCGTTCGCGTCTCTTTGGCAGCAGTCCTCCGCCGTCGCCGAGCCGGTTTACCTGGCGCCCCTTGACAACTCCCTTCATGCCATGTGTGTCACAGTGTGCAAGTCAGCTGCCATTCAATTGGTGAATGTCATCAGTAACAATTATTACCAAGGTTTGTCAAGTGCGTGGTGGACGGATATGAACTGTAAGTGCGCGAAGTACTCTTGACTTTTCGAAATTATCTTCGCGTCCATGAGTGCTTTTAGCCCTTCCATTGTGGGAGCGGTCATCTAACGAAACTCCGCGCTCCCACTATATGACTGAATACTGACCGGATGACCCTCCTAATAGATCTCTTCACCGCAGCAACAGTGCTGTTGGCTATCGAATACGAATGCGAAGATCCGGAAGAGAGTGACGCTACCGAAAGTGCCTTTGAACAATCTCTAATTATTCTGGGCGAAATGCAAGGACGCTCGTCCATGGCATCGTCCTATGTCACCATGTTGAAGAAGGCCAAGGAGGCTCAAGATTCAGCACAGATTCCACCGGTAGTTCCGACCTCCTCCCCACGAGCACGTTCGAGCAATGCACCGCCCCGGAATTCTTCTTCGACCTCTGAGATTGTGTCTAATGGAATCAACTTGGATGAATTTCTGAAAGATGACACCAGAGCCGATGCTCCTTTCCCGTCTTGGAACATGCAGGACTTTTTCCTGGTGCCTTGGGACATGATGATGGTTGATAACCCTATGCCAACGTTCCATTCATGACAGCCAGATGAGGTGCTAGTCACAATTGCTCAAGGCCATCAGGGACTTGGTTCCCAATCCCCCTCTCAAACAAATCTTACAAGTCCACTGTTCCGCCTTCTACCCATCTCTTACATTGCCAGTACAGTTCATCATGAGCTCGGCCACAGTCATTTGCGCCCTCGCGTCGATGGCCAGGCATGTCCAATTTCACCTTTACCCCCATGGTGGTCTCCTGACAGTATGCCAGATAGCGATACCCGATAGGATATCTCTTCAGCTTTTCGT